AAAAAAAAAGGTTCCCCTCTTGTTTAGCGGTCCCCAAGTTCAGCAACTGGAGCGTCCTCCAGCGCATCCCATACAGGGAGGTCTAAACAAAACTAAGACAGGCTAGCGACCATGTTGCCAGTAAGCGGTAAGACGCCTGAATTAGGATCGAGCCAAGGGGCGTGCTGGACAGGGTGGCAAGTCCTGCATAAGCACCATTCGCGCGAGTGCGGTGGCAAGAATTAAGGAACAAGCGACAGCTAACATGGCGGTCTTTTATAGTCTTTCAAATGGCGGGACTCCACGTCATATCATGACTGTTCTCATTGACGTAGGCACTATCGATGAGGTGGATGCATGAATTTTGCGATGGTTCAGAGCCAGACAAGCTGTTGAGTGTAATGTCAGTGTTCAAAAGGATGTTCTCAGATAGATAGTTCGCGGTCATCTTTGCTCTGCAGAAGTGTAACTTCCACTCCGATATGCACGGACTTCCCAGTTCCCTCCACATCTGCATTTATTTTACTTAAATAGGGGTTTATTAACATATGGGTCTCGGTTAGAAGTGCGGGAGAACCATCATTATACCACGGCCATGATGTTGCATAAGGGGGGGGGGGAGTCCACCTTTCGAAGATGAACAAAAGCCTCGAACAGTTCCAGTCATGTAGCTTGAGAAGAACACGAAATGTCAAATGCGGGGTAGCATATGTACACTTGGCCATGGTCAGGCTAGTCCAGTCTCGTGTCCACATTTGGTATACGTTACATTGTTTGTATGCCACCTTAATGCTACATGAGTAATTTCAGGGACTAATACTATCCTAACTCGAGATCAACAATATTTCAGGAGTCAGCATCGTAGTATAAAGATCCGAGTAAGGCTTAATAAAGTGTTAATGTATGGCGATCGAAGCTCAGGAACCAGTGGACGTCAATTGAACTTGCTATACTTGCCACTACAAATGACAAAACCGAAGGTTGTTCGTTTTTCGGTACTTCCAATATGGCTTACTCGGACACGGAAATGGACATGTATACGTTGTTATAGTCCCAATGAATTACGAGCCGAAGCATATGCACAGGCTGCAGCCGGGGTGTGCCTATCAAACGATGTTGTAAAGGCGTTGCATAGTATAGTAAGTTCCTCGATGACATATCAGATATGGAATGAGGATGAGGAGAATTGTAAAAGTGTGGGAAGTACAATAGTGTGTCTGAAACAAACGACTGTGTTGTAAGCGCAGTTCAGGGTGACTTAAGTGCGTGTAGTTTATAGAGTTTCGAAGTCTGGTTTACGCTCATCATTATTGTAGCCACCGCGAAGAATGTCTCGAAGTATCCACGAAAACATTGCGGCCGATCCTGTGAGGCATTGATGTTCAATGATAAGATGTAAGTGCATGATCCTATTTAAAAGAGGTATATGGATGCAAGAGTGTGAAAGCTAAGTGAAAAAGCACCCACCCAGGAATTTTGGAGATCAGCCAAATTATCGATATTTCTTTCGCACTGCAGTACTTCAGATCACAAAAGCTCCTAAGGGCTTTTAAATATTAATTTCAATACTTTAAGAATTATTATATATAAAGGGGAACATGAACTTTTTGCTGCAAAAACTGCTTAATTAGTTGGTATCATATCATGATAATCAGGACTTGGATTCCGCTATGGACAGAAATTGATCAAGGGCCAACCAGATTTTCATCTTGCCAGCCACGTGATCGCCTGAAATTTCCTTTTTATTTTTATTTTTTAAATAAGCTTATGCGGGAAGATGAGCCCGCCGTTTATACCATGTCCATCGAAGCGAGAAAAACGGACAAGATTCTGATTAAGAATCTGGTTGTTCGCAACACTGTTGGAGTAGACTCCTGGGAGAGATGCAAGACACAGCCTGTGGTCATCAATGTCTGTTTGTATACAGACATCACCCCGGCAGGCGACTCTGACCACGTCACTAAATCCATTCACTATGGCCATGTCACCAAGGCTGTGACCAAGGTTGCCGAAGAAACCACCTTCCGCTCTTTTGAGGAACTGGCACATGCTATTGTCAAGGTCGGTATCATCAAGTTTGGAGCTGTCAAGGCCACTGTCAAGGTCGAGCAGCCTCGTGCTCTCTTGCATGCCGCTTCCGCCGGTGTAGAAGTGACCAGAACCAGCGCTGATCTTGCCGACTTAGCGGCAGCTTTGGAAAAGCAAGAGAAAAATGGAGGAGCATCTATTAGCTTCGAGACGGTTGGCGACGTTTCTGGATTCGGCTACGACGATGTTGTGTTTGTCAAGGATCTCAAGCTCTCGACTATCATTGGTGTCAACCCATGGGAGCGCGAAGAAAAGCAAGTGGTTGTTATCAATCTCAAGATCTATCCCTTGACTCGTTCCGAAGAGCAAAAGTCATACCATCTTCGTACCATTGTGCGATCGGTGTCTCGACATATTGAAGCTTCCGGCTACAAAACTGTTGAAGCCTTTGTTGCAGCCATTGCTCGAATCTGTCTCGAGAAATGCCATGTGAGCAAAATCACCGTGAAGGTGGAGAAGCCTAGTGCCTTGGTTTTCGCTGAGAGTGCTGGTGTGGAAATCACTCGCGATCAGCAGTGGCTTAAGGAGATCCAGGAAGAGGAAAGCAAGGGTGGCAAGACGTATGCTCACTTTATGGAACAAAGCCGTTTTGCAGATATTCCGGCCAATTACACCCATTCGGCTTATATAGCCGTAGGATCCAATGTAGGCAACCCCATTGCTAACATCGAGAACGCACTTGCTCTGTTGGAGAGCCAATGTTCATCTACTGTGGTCGACACCAGCTTTTTGTACGAGACACCTCCTATGTACTACACTGAGCAAGCACCTTTCTTGAACGGCGCTATTAAGGTTTGTCATTTGGCTATACTGAATGTTAACGTGGCGGTCATGTGTACTAATCTTGCGTGGCCTTAGATCTTGACAAGTTTGTCACCAGAAGATTTGTTACGCAAGCTGAAAGAAGTTGAAGCTGAACTTGGACGACAACCTTCTTTCCGCAACGCTCCTCGTCCCATTGACCTGGATATCTTGTTCTACGATGATATTGTCTACCATTCGGAAGTTTTGACTATTCCACACCCTAAAATCCAGGAAAGGGAATTTGTTTTATGGCCATTATGCGAGTAAGTATTTGCCCGTCAACAAAAAAAAATGACGTGCGTTAGCAAAAAAAGCTAATCAGTTGCTCAACTCAGTATTGCCAAGGGCATGGAACACCCAACCTTATTCCGTACTTGCGGACAAATGTTGTCCCAGTTGTTGAAAGTGACTGCAGAATCTCCTGAAGGCCCTCTCAAGATTAACAAAGTGCTACCTATGCACCGCAGCGCTCAGGTCATGTGGAAATGGGATGCCAAGACCTATGTTATGGGTATCCTTAATACCACTCCTGACAGCTTCTCAGATGGTGGTGAGCACATGGATGTTGAGACGGCTGTGGCTCACGCTGAACGTATGGCTGAGGAAGGCGCCGATATGATCGATATTGGTGGCATGTCCACTCGCGTCAATGCTGATGAAACGTTCCCTGTGGAAGAAGAAATCCGAAGAGTAGTTCCGGTCATCAAGGCATTACGCGCCAAGGGATTCAAGCTTCCTATCTCCATTGATACCTTCCGCGCTCAAGTTGCAGAGGCGGCTGTTCAAGCTGGTGCTGATCTTATCAACGATGTGAGCGGAGGTAGTCGCGATGCTGAGATGCTCGCTGTTATGGCTAAAACCAAGGTTCCAGTATGTCTCATGCACATGCGAGGTACAGCCACTACCATGCAGAGCAAGGAGAATACCACCTATGAAAACGACGACGTGGTAGAAGATATCAACCAAAAGCTTCAGCATCTCATTGATCAAGCTATTGGCAGCGGTGTTTATCGCTGGAATATCATTATCGACCCTGGCATTGGCTTCGCAAAGACTGGAAGTCAGAACTTTGACATTCTTCGAGAGATGAAGCAGATCATTGGCCATGACGCCCCACTGGAAGGATTCCCTTGCCTGGTCGGCCCATCTCGCAAAAAGTTCATCGGTGATGCCACCGGGGTTTCGGAAGCATCCAAGCGCGGATATGGCACAGCGGCTGCGGTTGCCGCTAGTATTGCTGGAGGAGCCAGCATCATTCGAGTGCATGACGTACGTGAAATGAGTGAAGTGACCAAAGTGAGTGACTCAGTATGGAAGAAGGGACGTGATTTGTAATCTCTTCCTTTGTCTTGCCCAATTTCTTTTGAATCCTCCACGTTCAACACGTGTATTATATTTTTCTTTTTCTTGGATGTAAGTCCACTTGTACAAAAAGACATAACTTTATAGAGTTACAAAAAAAACCCATCGTAATAAAAAGCGTTCATTCAACTGCAAAAAAGCAAGATGGTTGATATCTAAATTGCCATTTCCGGTGAAACTGGCTGGCTGTCGTATTTAATCCTTGCTAACTCCGCTAAATCCGGTCAACTCACTTCTTCCCTTGACATCATGACAAAGATCCCCTCTCCATTAAACTTGGCAAAATGGCTCTCCGAGAATGAAGACAAGCTCAAACCACCAATCGGCAACTACATGTTACAGGTCGGTAATGGGACGCAAGTCATGGCCGTAGGTGGGCCGAATGCTCGAACCGACTTTCACATAAACGAGACAGAGGTATGGAATTCCATCGATTACACCCTACTGGCTAGCCTTGACCCATTTGCTTATCTCTTTCTCGTATGTAGGAATGGTTTTTCCAGTACAAAGGCAGCATGACTTTGAGGGTGTTCGTCGATGGAGACTTCAAAGATATCGCCATCAATGAAGGCGAGATGTACTTGCTACCTGGTAAGAGTTGTTTAGACCGCCTAGTTCGAACGCATTGATGCTCATGGGCCAGTTTAATTTCGCTCGTAGGAAATGTACCGCACAGTCCAATTCGCTATGCAAACACAGTCGGCATTGTCATTGAAAAAATTCGAGAACCACATCATATTGGTAATTGTCTTTTTTTTTTTTTTTCCTCTTGTCAGATTCGCCCAGCCAATCAGATGACTGATTTTTATTTATGATAGATCGTTTACGATGGTACTGCAAAGACTGCAAGGAGATTATCTACGAGGAGTCCTTCCATTGTGTGGATTTGGGCAGCCAATTGAAGCCTATAGTAGAGCGTTATGCAAATGATCAGCAGCTTCGGACATGTAAGAACTGCGGGTGCGTCAATGAAGCCAAGTGAGCGGACATGGCAGGGCCATGCAGGAAAAAAATCATCCACCCCCATTGAAAAAAATACCTTGTGACTGCTATGTTGCCTCCTGTCCAGAGCACATCATGGCATCATTGCCATCTTCTTACCCCTCCCCTCTCTATAGACCAGCGTTACTATTACAAACTCCCCATCATAAAATTGATATATATATACTTTTTCGTTTATGTTGTTTTATGGCTGGCCACTGCTAATCGAGTGTCCTTGGATCAGAAGTGAAGACGATAGAATAGCGTTCATACAGTCTTGAGTGACTTAGGGTCGTGATTAAAACGCTGCAGACACCATACGATATCATTTCTATCTCCATATAGTCACATTGGTTTCAGTAAAGCAAAGCCCTGGATGTTACTACCGATGCAAATACGCGACTTGATGGACCGAAACCTCGATGGCAGCTGCATGGATGAGATATTTTCTCTACCGCTAACTCATGTTACCACGCAGTGATTGCTCAGCTAGTTTTTTAAGTCTTCGTGAAGCATCAATTGATGCAGGGTATTAGACAATAGAGCGTATGCATCCTATATTGCCAATATGGCTTTAGCTAGCATCAATTTACTACAATGGTTGTAAAATATGTTTAATGACCCTCCATCCTAACGACCGCTCAGGTACCAGTATATTGGCAGTCGTATCTCTATCAGACAACTTGATATTTTATTTCGATCTAAAGGTAAGTGCGAACTTCGATGAAATCGGATTTGTTTGACAGATTGCGATATCTTTGTGTTGCCTTTGATCCCAGCTATGCATGAATACACAAGAATTGCCTGCCTGCTGTTCATTTTCCCTTTCCATCAATTGAAATTCCGCGTTTTTCAAGAAAGCTCTGACAGAATGGAGTCCCAAATCAATGGTAGCTAGCCCGGACAGGCCAAACAAATCAGCATGGTTATCAACATGGTCCATTTTAAAATCCACCCACCCGCGATTTAGTTACATACTCGCTACTCACTCACAAGACACCTGTTTGTCCATGCTTCCTTCTCTCTCAATACTCAATCATGTCTTCTCAGCCCCTTATGTTGTTGCACGCGAAGTATGAGTCGCGTATGGACGACGTGGCCGATATCTGGAGAAGTGTGATTGTGCCTGCCAATTTTACTCTGTTCCAGCTCCATATCGTTCTGCACGAGGTTTTCCAGTTGATTGAATCTGATGACTCTACCCACAGTTTCCGTCCTGCTAAATCCATCTACCCTGAACACAACTTTACATATTTCGAGCCTGTCAGTCCAGCCAAGGTTACGCAGGGATGGATGAAGGAGATCGCGCATGGTGTTTATATAGGTAAATGAAATGTCCATTTGGTTAATTTTGCGCTTGTGTAAAGCATCATCGTGTCTAAGTCAATACTCTAGATCGTTCGCTGTGTGGTGGTGGTAGCTCGGATGCTAGCTTGGTGCGAATCGTTCGAGATGACAGAGTGTATCGCTTGGATGACCATTTCTTTGTATCCCCGCTTCTGATGTATGGATTTGAAGGGGCTCACACACCGAGACAAGAGATACTGATCGAATGCAAACACATTTTCACGTCGGCAAGATCCACCAGCACTCCACGGGTCGTCGCAGGAGCAGGCCATATCACCCAGCAATGTACAGAAGCCAATCAAGTGGATATTGAAATGTTACAAGCAGCGTTCAAAAAGTCTCACCAATGGCATGGCGATGTGTGTTGCGTTTGTACGCGATACCAATCGGCCCATCATCGAACCTGTCAGAGCCAGCATTGTTTGAAAATGGATCGTGGTCGAGCTCAAAGCGAAGAGGATGTTCATGAAGCCTGGTGGTTCAATCGACACAGCTCTACTGATGACCTTCCATCTCTTCTCACTCGCGGCCCATGCAACTTCACTGCTCTGGAAGACGGAGAACGAGTATGCCACGCATTCATAGCTTAATCTGTTGTATCTCCTGTCTGTACCAAATAGCGTTGTAAACTTTTCCCCCCATTTTCTGTGCCATTGTTCTAATTTGGGCTGTAGTAATTCCAATGGCCCCCTCTCTCAAAAGTAGTAGTATACCGCGTACATAAAGCTCTACCGATATTTAAATGGTTATTCATTTTTGTAAAAGTACTTGGGGTAAAGTCAGGATTGGATTGGAAGGGTATAAAACAAAAGAAAAAGGGATCTTGAATAATCAATCTCTCTTGCTGATTAAGTTTCCCTATAACACATATTAAGGCTGTGGATCTCCTTGCTAAGTATCTGCCAGAATATCTGAACCTTGCCCAGTAATCTCTGTTCATATTGCAACAATTCGTACATGAATTTAAGGTTGGGTTGGATGATCACATTGAGACGACGTGCCCGAACAAAAAGATAAGCTTGAACCAAAGACATGTGCATGTGTTTCATGACATAACAGATAGTAATGGTCGCACTTCGACTGACTCCTACTCGACAGTGAATCAAACACTTTGTCCCTTGGAGGCGCGCCTCATCTGCCAACGGAAAAAGAAACATAGGATGAACATCAAACGACTGACTGACTGATCTCATGGAGTATGATGGGACGTAACTTACCAATGTGCTTTATACAATCGTCAATGTGTCCCCACAGAGAATCGATTCCATCATCATAGAGATTGTCCAGCAATAAGAGTTTGAAATCGTCTCCTAAATTGGCGTTCTCGCCAACACTGAGAACATGTGTAATACCAAGGGCCTTAAGCACCTTTGGATTGGTGGCGTGATTAAGATTGCCCAAGTATAAGAAAGGTAATATACGAGAAGGAAAAGAGCCCTCAAATCGCTCAGAATAGAACCATGGGTATTGCGCTTTGACTTCGTCTGGTTCGTTTTCCAAACTAGACGTACCACCTCCTTGTGCTGTTCGATGGGCATCAAGGATAGGTATAACTTCATCGACGTCGTCATGATGATCAGTGTCCATAGCTGACGGGGCGACCAAGTGTTTTGGAACTTGACTCATGTAGGTATCATCAAAAAGTTGCCTTCGATCGGCGGTACGATCTTCTGGCTCGTCTTCACTACTGACCAAATCCACTTCATCGTCTTCCTCATCATCTACCATCGTCTTCTTGACGAGATCAACCTCACTGGTGTCCATACTGGGCTTTCTATTGCATATGCCTTGAGCTGCTGCTCCGCCAATGCTTAATTGCTCAATCTCTTCTTGCCCAGTAGTTTCTTCTCGCTTTCGCTTGTGTGGGGGTTCCCGACATTCAGTGGGCTCCAAAATCTTCTTCTCTACACGCTTGAGAATTTCGACATCGCTAGAATAGACAAAGAAGCTTCTCAATTCTTGCAGATGGAGATAAGCTCCTGGAAGTCTTAACCTTTCTTTGTACATCACCCATGATAAGGCGAGCATGCTGGTTTCCGTATAGCCATCGGCACAATGAATAAGAATCCTGCGTCCTTGCGTAACTTGCTCATCTATGAACTCCAAGAGGTGAGCCATTTGAGAATAAAACACATCGAATGCTGAGACAGAGGTCAATGATGAGCCTGACGAATAGCAGTCTAGATGAATGAGCTCTTCAGGCAATTGATCCTTTGGCAGATCATTGAGGGTGACTCTGGCTAAAGTGAGCGTCGACGGCAATGGCATATCAGCCAAATCATGCGTTTCAATGCATATTGAGATTCGATGAGGATTGACTAACTCGTCGTCCGAGCTCAATGGAACATCTTGGGTATTTCCGAGCTGTGAAACCACGCCCAAAAAGATAACAAGACAATGTTTTGATTAGCAAAAAAAATCCCAGGTAAGGTCTAAAGGAGTTCCCAGCCCTTTATGGCGGCCGGCAAGTTAAAAAAAAAACTTACCCATACACCTTTTGTGATTTCTGAAGCTTTTGTGAGCACATACATCTCTTCCCGCTCCTGTTCCCAAAAGTTAACCCGATTGGCAGCATGACCCTGATGATCAAGGCAGACAAGGTCCGGGTATGAATGCTCAAAAGCGTTAAATGGATCTGTGGTCAAGCATTTTTTCAGAGAAATGAAAATAAAATATTAGTGAGTTAAGCAATTGGAGGGGAACGATGAAAAAGATCAAAGGGGATGTTTACCAATGACGACAAAGGTTCGGTAATCCAAATCGTTCACGGAAGGAAGAGGTCTGTTTCCGTTTTGCTGCTTGGCAGCCTTTATTTGCTCTTGCCTTTGTGCCTTGATCTTTCTCTGAGCGACAGCTATCTTCCTCGCTGCGTCGATGGCACCTGTGCCATAGACAACTATGTCACTGATAGTGGCGTATCTTGCAACCTGAATTCTAAAGTTTCTCAGGTTGATGCCCAGTTCTGATTCAGTGGTATCAAGAAAATCCGGGTGTTCCCCAGGCGTCAAAATCTCATTTGGAAGAACCGAACCCACCAGGCGAGACTGATTAGAGAATACTTCATCGGCATGCACCAAGGTTAGACCTCGGTGAACGGGAACCAAACACTGGCGGATACCGAAGAAAAGGCATTGCTGATACGAGCGACCATCCACGCCATGGAGCCAAGGAAACAGGATATCGTTTGGTAATGGGGTTGTGAAGTATGTGTCTTGCAGGCGGTTATACTGTTCTGCGTTAATGGCGTAAATGGGAGCAGGGTTTGTTTCTACAAGGTTATCAAGGCAGTCGACAGGAGGTTCGAAGACGGGCAAAACTCGAGGAGGCACTTTGAAAGGTTGTTCAAGTAAAGTAGTCTTTTCTTCGATAGGGGATGTAGGATTCGACACTAGATGGTCTGAGGGTAATGGAGGATCTGCAGCAGTGGCCATATTTTCTCAAGCTTAGCGAAAGAGGAATAAGGAAAAGAGAAAAATTGGGAGATGTTTTAGAAAAGAAAAAAAAAAATCATCCTGGCCAATATGTCATTTTACTTTTATCGCCTGTTAAACCAAAATCTCTTTACACATTCAGTCAATCCAGAACTAACATGCCAAAGCACGAAAAGAAGAAGAAGAAGAGAGATCGCCATGTCCTGGATCTGAATGAGTTGAAAGAACTAGCTAAAGCTCACCGACACAAGGCGGATAAAAAGAAGAAAACCGAGGATTCAATTAGTAAGGCCGCTATGGTTCCGCAGACCAAGGCCGACCACGACAAAGAACAGAATATAGTCAGAAAGGTAGTGGACCCTCTAACGGGACGGACGCGGTCAGTAGCATACGCCATTTTGGCTCAATGAATGTTTGTGTGTCGTGAGATCACGTTTGTGTGTCCCTGTATTTAAACAGATCCCCCCTTAGGTTGGTCAAAGGATCGGGCGAGATCATAGAAGAAGTTGTGTCAAAGGACAAGCAGAGAGAAATCAATCGTATGGCTACCTTGAAGGATGGTCTCTCCTACGAAGCCGCTCACCTTTCCGGTCGATATGCACCATGAAACACCGCAGCCGCCAGTTAAATACCAAATGAACATGTACATTTTTATTTCCAAGACACTTTGTTTGCTGTTGTGTGGGTGTTTTTTTTTTTCTGTGAATTCACCGTCGATCGGTCGTCACTCGTTGATAGGTCGGAAGCTTCTCTGGCTCTTCTTGCCGTGCGCAATGTGGATTCAGTAAGGTAGTGGATTCTTCAAATCCTGGTGGCCGAGAGGGTATGGTGGTCATGATGATGGGCACTTGAGCTTCAAATGGAACTGGATTGTCGACGAAAAACACTTGTATGCAAATACAGTGGGTGATGTCGAGCAACGGTGTATCTAGGTGCTTTTGTATCTTGGTCTGGTCCAATTTGAATGAAAAATCAAAATCATAGTGTACATCGATTCTTTGCCCTGCTTTACTGAGCTCTGGCTTAAGCTCTACAGATTGTCCAGTATGAAAGTCGTATTCCAGCGGACCATATAAAATGGTTTCAGAAGTCAATTTGGACGGTACTCGGCATTCTGTTCGGTTCGGCCGTGAGGGATCTTTACTTGAGTTTCTATTGGCATGGGATTTAGTAAAGAAGTGGATCCAATCAAGCCAACCAACGAATCTCTTACCTGGTTTCTTTGACTTGCTTCAGCGTGGCAATGACTTTGGCGGGGATACCACGTCGACCAAGTGGGGCAATATTTCCAAACGCGGAAAAGCCCTGTTGCTCGACAGGTACAACGCTAGGATATTCCAAGTGTATATCGAAAATATGGCTCTGACGCTTAGAGAACGTCACTCGAGGGTCAAGAAACGGTGCTTCTTCTAAGCTTGGAATGTAATGCCGGTGAACTTGAATCTGCCGTTTGTATTTGTGCGATTCCAGGTTGAGCCAGTTGGAAGATTCGCGGGCCGTCACGGTGAATTCATAGCGCAAATGTCCGCTTGCATTTTCGAAAGACTGTGGAAGATTGCCAGGAATGCTCAATGAGAATGGGATTTCATGCTGACCGGCCGAGACACTGGAGTTAGGGCTGATGAGGGTGACTTGCGTTTCGCAGATGTCAGCTTGAACTGTACTCAACGAATCCACTACCGACGTCTCTGGAAACTTTTCCAGGATTTGATGGTACCCTTTGAACTTTAAACTAGCGGATGGATGTTTAAGACCATGACACTACCAGGAACATGAGAAAAAAATACATACGTTAGTGCCTTGAATTTAGCGGTTCGAGCGAGTTGCAGACGAACCGTCCCTCGAAGTAGAAGGGGAGGTGCGTCCGAGGTCAAGGGGCCATAAACATCGATAGAGGTTTTCTCAGGCAAGACGTCGACTGAAATAATCTCTTTCATGACGAAGGCAATGGTACAACTGAGAAAAAGATGGAATCGATGGTTCGTAAATTGCCCAAAAAGAAAGAGGTTTGTCAGCTGACCATCCATCATTGATCAGATCTTCCAACGAGTTTGGGAACATCCTGACTTTCTGTTTAATAAACTACCGGCAACTCTAAATCTCAACTTGTAAACATTCTCTCACAACCACCCAAGCAAGCAAATGCAATTGAATTGGGTCGTTTCTATTCAACTAACGCACACCATGACGAGCAACATCTATGATCGGGGTAGGTATTTGGACATGGCGTCTATCAAGGGTCGACCATAGCGCAGGCCCAGGCAGGCACCAATACCAAGAGCCGTAACCGCTGAGGCCGTGGCAGTGGCATTAATCCACCAGGTTTGACGATTCCAACGCTTGATTGCATCAGAATAGCGGATGGTGGTGAAACTGACCATGGTGTACAATGGAATGACAGCAGTGGGAAACATAGAGTGCAAAACAGCTTCTAGTTTCTTTCGCGCGAGATACAATGGCGAAGTCACGGCAGATCGCATCTCGTAATGATTGTACATAGCTAAATCGCAGATAGCATGGGCATCCTCGCTTCGTTCCTTGGAATATTCCTCCATGGCTTGGTGGAGACCATGAATTTTTCCATCGGCCGATAGTTTATCCTTAACGCCGTGTTTATCTAGAATGCTATGCAGCACTTGCACATCTTGGAAGCCGCAATTCATACCCTGCCCGTAGAATGGTACCATAGCATGTGCTGCATCACCGATGATGACTGCTTTATCCTGGTAGTGGTAGGGCTTGCACTAGAGTTGAACAGAAGGAATGAGTACCGGGAATGCATGCGGTTACAGTGCATCTTTACCTTTATGGATATGAGAGAACCACGAGGATTATTGAAGTACTCTTCGAGAAGCTTTTCTTCGCCAATGAGAGGGACAGAGTCCTTAAATTCTCTCTTGAAAAAGTCCAATACGAGTTCCTTGGTGTTGAGCTCGTCAAACATACCAAACGGCATGAACAAAGTGCATGTAAATGTCTTGTCCTAATGGACAGTTAGATGGAAAATCAGAATGCAAACGAAACAAAAGAGAGAAAAATTACCGGATTAGGTAAAGCTATGAGCATAAAGGTGTGACGGGGCCAAATATGAAGATGATGAGGATCAAGTGCAAACTCGTCTTCACCATTCTCATTCTTGATTGGGAGCATTGTCAGTTCGCAATAAGCGGTGTCGATGTATTCCTGCTCATAGTTCATCCTACATCATGAAGAGAAATGGTACAAAGTACTGTCAGGATAGGCAGTAGCCAAGCGTTAGATCAGGGTCATTGAATATACCTTATACGACGCATAAGCTGAGTACGACTTCTGGAATACGCACCATCGGCACCAACAAGGAGATCTGCGTGGTAAGTTTTTTCAGGATTGCCCGTTCTGTTTACGAGCAATTAGTAATGGACGACTGAGTGTGATTGATAACGGCACAGGAAATGATATTTACCCTGTGAAAAACTGAAGTTCGCCTTTATCCAGATCAGCTTTCATAAGATTATGTTCGAAATGGATATTGATATTGGAAAACTCTTCCGCAATGGTAAGCAATTCCTCATTCAAGCGAGCTCTGTCCACGGCATTAATATGCTGCATGCTCAAGTTAGCTTAAAGTGAAAGACTGGATGAAATTTAAATGTTAGGGTGGAGACAATCACCTGGTCCTTTTTGCCGTAAGCTTGTGACATCTGGTGTCCTGCAGTAGTATGCACCATGCGAGCATGAAGAGGAACCGCTGCTTCTAAAATGAGTTTATCAAGGTCCAAACCGCTGTTACGAAGAGCACTCAATCCACGCTCAGACAACGCTAAATTAATTGATTTTCCTCGCTGCGTGGCCTTGACCTCCGGCAAACGCATGTCTGCACAAATGGAATGAGCCATTGTCATTCACGTAATACAAACAAAGGGAAAGAATGTTACCTTTGCGAAGCTCAAACAGGTCCACATTCCAACCTCTTTGGGCAAAGTAAATTGCATTTAAAGTTCCCACAAGGCCAGCACCTATAACAGCTACTCGACAAGACTTTGAATCGTTGGAAGTTGACATGCTTGCTTGTAAATGAGACTAGATCAGGTACAACAGGAGTGGGTAAGATTTTATTGCGGTTCCGTCGCACGCTTTAAGACTCCGTCAGCTCTCCATCATGACAGGGACCACTTCGTCTCTGCAAACTTGAAACAAGGAAACGCCCTATGTACATGCATATCTGACTATAGAGGCTAATGTCATCAATGGTAATACAATGCTTATTCTAAAAGAAGGGCTGCCAAAAAAAAAAACAAAAAGAAAAACCATTAAGCAGCCTAATGTTTCTTGGTGACCGTCCTCCCAAGTACTTGACGCGAACTTCACTACCACCTAGCTGACAGCAAATGGAACGGTCAAGTCGCCAAAATGCTCCCGCACAGCCATCCTTCATTGGGACCATTGTTTTGTCAATGATTGAAAACGGGTATGTACTTTTAGAGTTATAACCAAGCAATTCCATCACGCTTGGTTATCGTGACGATCCCCCTAAAGGACAACACCGTCCATGTTGCCTACCCACGTGTGGATCTCAAACAAACAGCATACCACGTTTTGATGGGAATGGACATTCGCTATCCCTGGCTTTGCCCGAGGGTTCAGGAGACGTCAGCAATGTAACCTATTGGCAATAGAAAAGTGACATATGTATGGTCACCCTGCACCAGCGACAGTACGATAGGAACAACCATGACATGGATTCTTATTATAATTTGCTATGTACAAGCATGTCATATTTGCTCCTCATTACTGTGATTCCTTTCATCGGTCACTGGAAAGCATTACGCCTCGTCTGTGAGCAGAAGAATAGATTAAGATAGGGGCATTGCAGATGCTTATAAGGTGGCCAACGCTTCACTCACCTTTTAACAGCTTTAACCAGAATTTTGATATTTTGATCACTTTTCACCATCTTGGATTGAACTTCTTGAATGAATTGCTCTGTCTGACTTACTAGGTCTAATACAGACCCATGGATGGCTAATGGGCAGTGTTAGTGATCCTGTCATTTCTATATAATTTTACATAGGATGACTTACGGTCGATAGCCGATGGCGAGAGCTCCAAGCCAATATAATAGTCAAGGCGAAAAAGGGTGCCAGGATTCAGATCATTTGTGCGGTAGTAATCGATCGGATCATCCACAAACACGCCTCTGGTCAAATTCAAGAACTCCTCCTGAGTGCGATACGCATATACACTTGTGCTACATTCCGTCCATGCATGAGCAAAGGTGATCATCTCATTTGTGTCCAATAGCTGCAGCATCTTGGGTATACACGCCGCAAGTTTGCCTTTCCTAGATCGGATGTCCATAGTGGTCAGTGGGGGGCTTGACATCTAAAATTGTCCTGTTTGGTCCTTTAAATCCTTACCACTTTTCTTGCTGCTTGGTCGATTCACAGAACATGATGATGTTGAGATAATGCTTGTATTGACGGTCAAATGGAAATGGTTTGTATAGTTTGGATACGAATTGTGGTGATTCATCAGCGGTGATGATAGCATAGGCTATGAGGACATTACGTGAGTACGCACGCAGATGTCAATAGTTACACGTTTCCCCCTTCCTCGTGTTACACTCACCTCGCTGTAATTCCCGTTGAAGCACCTTCTTACTAAACTGAGTTGCATATGGATTACCACTCTTATATGGATAGCATGGAGTGATAATGGGCATAACATCATTTTGAAATTCAGGCTATGAAAAAGATGACGGTCAGTAAATGGATGGGTATTTTCTCTCATGGAGAAACGATGCAATCTTGGCTGAGGCTTCTGCCACGCCAAGCAACGACACTTACAAGCTGTTCAAACTCAATACTCTGGCCATCGTGATCATGCAATTCGTTCAGTAACACTGGCTTGGGCCACTCCCAATGAGACCATTGATTGAAAAAGTCAAGTAAAAGCTGAGACGAAGTGTGCTCACTACGATTGCTTGTCAAATAGGTTTTGCAGAGGAGAAGTGTCCATGTACCACTGTTGAGGTACCCTATTGGTTTTCCGTAAATGCCGCGATTGATGGCCCAATATTTGATACAACGAAGAGCCGAACTCAATGCATCCCGATGTTGTCGGCGAACTAATTTCGCAATATACAGATTGACGCGAGGGCCATCTAAACTACGCATATCCACATCGTCTATCCCTTCAAGCAATGCATCGTCGAGGAGATTGGGTAGAGGGTCCAAGGTCGTGGCGCGGAGGCGAGCAAACGACATGTCACACGGTATATTGTCCATTACGAATTTGATGATAGGTACGGGAGCGCGATGTACGACCTGCATACAAGCCAATGTGATTAAAAAAAAAGAGGTTTACCCTACGCGTGTCGTGCCACCATCAAGTGTACCTCGAGAACCTGGATGGATTCGCTTTTGAGTATGTGAGGGAACTGTTGGAAGAAGGTAAAATGCTCCACTTGATGAGGCGCAATACAGACGAGGTCCATGTCGGAGGCTCGAAGGTGCGAACCAATAGCGTACGAACCAAAGGGTAGTATACGACATGGTTCATGCGGGATACGGAACTGGGTTGCCAGCCTTACCGTGAACTTATCGAGAAGCGCCTGTAAGTGTTCTACGATGTATGCTCTAAGAAGCGTAATAAGAAAGGTGAGGTTAGGATCAGTTGAGCCATTGCGGATTTGGAATCAAATCCGAGTGATGTGGAGATCATCTCGGCCAGATCAAACCATGACCGATGCGTGATCAGCTACCCAAACTTGTTTAGCCTAACCTCTTTGCAACCGCTTGTCCATCCTCTAGTGCACCCTGATCCACCAGATATTGTGACCAAGACATGAAGAAATTTAGAGTTCACAGAAGGTACGCGGTTGTTGAACAGGCCAGAAAACAAAAAGAACCGATAGGTTCAACGGGTGTTCAAAGAGGGTCGCAGATGTAAATAGCATGTCATGCCAAGGAAAACTCCAAAAAAAAAAAAAAAAACTTTACAGACGCGTGGTATGGGGATTAAAACAATTCATTGTTGACAACGAATCTACTATTGTGTGATAATTTTTTCAGTCATGAAAAAAAGAATGGCACATAACATTACTTTAAAAGCGAACTTAAAAATTTGAGGTTGTGTGGATATTGTCTTCCATTGGAGGGAGGGAAAGGAGAGTATACTGATGAATAGTTGGAAGCTGCGAAGAAACAAAAAAGTACATTGGAGGGAGAGAGAATTGTATGTAGTTAATCTTTTAGAAACATGAAATGATTTGTTTTCTTAAGTGTAAGGGGCTATCCTCTCCAGATTTAAAGGAGAAGGGCAGCAGCACCGGCAACGAGACCAGCACCAACAACACCAGCCTTGAGGGCAGAGGCTCCGGAGGCCTTGGTGGTGGCAGCAGCGGAAGAAGAGGCAGCAGCAGAGGAGCTAGCAGCGGAGGTGGCGGCCACGGAGGTGGTGGCGGCCATGGAGGTGGTGGCAGGGACGGAGGAAGAAGCAGCAGAGGTGGCAGCAGCAGAGGTGGCAGCAGCGGTGCTGTTGGAAGCAGCAGAGGAGCTGTTGGAAGAAGCGACGGCTCCGGAACCAGCTTGGATGGTGAAGAAACCAGAGTAAGCGATGTTAGGGGAGGTACCGAGCTCGAAAGCGTCTACATGAAGAAAAAACCAACGACGGTGAGCCACAACAAACACACAGAAAAATTTTCCTCCATCCAACGCAAATACTTACAGTCAGTGCCAGCAGCGGTGTCAGCAGGGATGGCCCAGGTGTAGGTCATGTCAGCAGCGTTAACATTGGTGGTAACGGTGAGAACGGGTTGAAGAGCAGAGGAGGGGCCCTTAACGAGTTCAATTTGCGAGATGGTGGTAACGGTGGGGTTAATCCAGGTGATAATGGCGTTGGTACCAGCGGTGTAGACGGTTCCAGTAAGGGGGGAGGTGAGGGAAACGGGGGTGGTTTGAGCGCTAACGGCAGCAATGGCGAAAGCAGCAATGGCAGCAACAATGGACTTCATGTTTTAAAGGAGAGTGTAAAGGGAGAGGGAGATTTCTGAAAGAAATGTGGGTGCTCGAGGCTCTCATCCTTTATACTTGCGCGCGCGGTTAATTGAAATGCAGACACAGTGGTTGAGTATGATTTCGGTATAGTGGCTTTGGTGGAGTTTCAAGTTATTTTCTTCCTGAGATGCAAACCACGCTGTGTTGTTACCCATTCAGGTCAAGGCCCACCCATAAGGTCTGACCGTTTGGTTATTAAGCGACGAGCATTTTGGCTGTTGAACAGTGCGAGCCAAACCTCTGACTTTTCAGTTCAAGCTTTCATAGCCCAAAACCATCCACCGATAGCTCGATATTCATGCTCCTAGCCTGTCTCCTCTTGCTTCCCTACTGTCCGCCTGAAACGACTACCAATCAATACGTTTCAATTGTTGGCCGAGAAAAGTGGGGCCTAATGTTACACGTAATTTTCGAACATAAAACCCCGTCTCTGTCGCACTCCCATTATTATTATTAGTTGGTTTATCCCATTACGCTTTGCATTTGAGGCAACGAACCACCTTCTTCATGACAATTTTCAGCAAAGAATGTCAAACGTTTCTAAACTTTCTTTGCTGACTTTGGTCGCGTCCATGTATTTCACCGCTGCTCAATAGCATCAAGCCCTCGTCCCGATGACAAGGCTTGACATCCTCGTGCCGTATCGCCGCAATCGATTCGTTCTCTGGGCAAGAGTAAAAATAGGGAACACCATTTTTATCCAATCCGAAGTCCGCCCAGTTTGTCCCCCCCTGGTTTTAACAGCCGAGATCATCCAATGTAACGTTGGACGAGGTCATTAAAAAAAAGCAACACACAGTGAGACGACGCAAATTTTATTGATTGTAAGTATTTCATTGACTTTGCTCTTGCAGGGCTTGACTGAGTACAATGGCATCTTGAACATCGTCACGTAATATTTTCATAACATGAGCGAGACCATTCTGCTGGTCTTCCAACACCTGTGAAAAAAAAAATGTATATAAATAACTGAACCATAAATACGTGTAAACATTGTTCCTTTACTTTACCTTGGAGATGGTTTGCATGTCTTTCTCACTCACAGACGCCCACCCCTTATCATCTTCATTTCCTCCATAGATCCGGCTGGACTCTCGAACCAATTGAAGCTGTGCCCAGAGTTGGTTGAGTTTACCATGGAACTGCTCAGATTGCTGTAAATGGCTTTGTACGTTTTCCAGTTTAGCCCGCAGTGCTTCTTCATCGTTCTCGATGGAGAATCCTTTGTTACGAAGTATCTGTGCATATTTCAAAAACTGACATAACCCGTCACGTAGATTAATATCACGCCGACCAACGCCAAGAATTGCCACATGTCTGGTTTACCTGTATCACCCTCTGTGTTAGATCAATATGGCGACGTTTATATTCTTGAAGCTTGACAATGGTTTCAATGGTGTGTTTACGTCTGACTTCTTTCATCTTCTGGTCCAATTGCTGCATTGACAGGTGACATAGTTAGTTTCGTGGTTTATGCCATTCTCGTTTCCATCCTTCACCTACCTCTAGTTTGATTCGGTGCGCCTGGCATTGTCTATCCTGTGTCTCAATACGAGTACGAAGTGCTTCGAAGCCCACAGCTCGAACAGGCACCATACTAAACCCCCATTGAAAAAAAAACGTCAGTCACAGAAGTCTCCCTTTCAACTAAACCAGCCATGGCCCTTACCAGCTAGGATCGGGATTGTTCTTCATAGCCATCTCCCAAGCCTTATCGTCTTCATTGGGTGGTTTCGTAAATCGTTGCACTTCGCTGGGATGGACAATATTGTAAAAGTAGTGCTTGAATTTACAGTTGGGTGAATTAGGATCCCATTCGCTTTTTATCAAGGCAAGGGATTGCCATATGTATTGTGGGTTAGCGTGCTGTCCCGGCAGCAAGCGTTGATTCAATTGCTGTGCGCTCTGTTCTTGCTGTGAGAGGTATTGCCAGACTTGTTGATTTTGCTGTTGTTGTGCATTTGCATTGGCACCTACTCAATTTATTTTTTTTACCAATATCAGTCAGTGTTTTCAGTCATTCGTATCACTCCCCCCTCTTTACATACCAATAGTAGGTTGTTGTGCTCCAAACATATTTCCAGTACCCCCCAGTGTAGTAGGCTTAGAGCCAAATAGTGACGTTCCTCCTGTATTTCCAAACAGTGATGGTGCTGTATTTTGTGTAGTCGATCCAAACAACGACGGCGTGGTAGTTGATTGACCGAATAATGATGGTTGCGAAGTGTTCGTATTTGTGCCAAAGAGATTGGATCCTGTGGACGGATTGGTGGTATTCCCAAATAGACCTGGAGCGGAAGACGTTGCTGTGTTGGACCCAAATAAGCTTGGAGCTGTGGATGTTGCGGTATTGGATCCGAACATGCTTGGGGCTGTGGATGTCGCTGTCGTATTAGAACCAAACATAGATGGTTGGGAGGTATTTGTTCCAAACCCACCAGTTTGTTGTTGTTGTTGTGTATTGCCGAACAAGCCGGTGGGATTTGGAATGGTGGTATTGTTACCAAATCCAAAGCTAGGTGCAGTGGAAGTAGCAGGTGGAGCAGCACTTGCTCCGAATCCAAAACTTGGCGTGGTGGATGTGGGAGGTGCAGCGGAACTGGCATTGTTGCCAAATGAAAACGCATTAGAAGTAGGCGCAGTATTAGTTGATCCAAAGGATCCTCCCGTGTTAGTGCCAAAACCACCTCCAAAAGGCGATGCTGTTGACGTTGCAGGCTTTGATCCAAAGGTAAATGCCATTACAACACCAAAATGGGAGTGAATCAAACGTTTAGGCAAAAATATTCACGACTTGCCCGCCTTTTTTCGTGATAGTGGACTGCACTTTGCTTGTCAGCGCGCTCACTCTCTGCTGCTATCAATTTTTTGTCTACGTCATCAATTAAGGCGACCTTACCTGCCCTCGTCTTTCTAGCAGCAGCAATGCCTTATACCATTAAACGTTTTCAGATATATTCTTTCACACAGGTTATCTTGACAGCGTAAGCTTTATTATGGTGAAAAAAAAAATTATTAATTTTATCATCATCAGAAACTAACTTCTCAGTAACCGTGCCACTTTTGTAACAACATAGAATGGTCTTTGTAGGTGCTGCATACGACAGACCCAGTATACACTACCGCATGAAACGCGTTTGTTTCTTTAAAGAAAATTATTTTTCTTTCGTTTTGATAGATTTCTGAGATATTTGGTACAAGCGATAGGTATACAACGAGCGAGGGGTTGATCCAGTGTAAAGCGGTACAAAGTCGTTTCAGCCAGCAGCTCGTAAACGTGGTGCGACACTCTTATGTTTAGTAGGTACGTTGTGTAAAGCTGTATTCATTCGATGGTAACCATGGCTGAAGTATTAAATGTAATGGGTCCACGCCGTTGCCTGCCGTAAGAAGGTAGACTTTCACGACAAGATCCATTTACTACAGTACGGCTAGTTTTCACATGCATGAGTGAGACCTTTGATGAATTTACATTCAATGGCCTCTCGTTTAACACATTTTCTACAATAATAGCTTACGTTATGAAGTTTCTTCTGTTGACTTCGCCCAGGGTCCATGGTCAAAACATAGGTAAAATGAGATTCGTGAAGCAACCACCATAAGCGGAGTTTCGGTCGTGAAACCCCAGACCACGCCCCAGTATCGCTAGCACTACAGGAACAAGCCGCGGATACTCGTCTTTGACTTGGAGTAGTGTTCGATGAAAATGATCTCTTCGTTTTTGACGTATCGTAGCTAAAGAACGAGTATCGCGCTGAATAGTCAAGAGGCAAGCGATGGCCTGTGTCCCCTTGTAAGCAGCGGTTGTTCAAAAAGCAAATGTTCATTTCACAGAAAAAAAAATTGAAATTGAAAGGCAGCCAGCGTTTCAAGGACCTGAAAGTTTCCATCTTCGAAAGCAATCCCTATTCCTTTCCTTTGAATGTCTCTTTTCTCAAAGTTGTCAGGGAAAGGGTCTCAGTCTTCGACTGAAAAAGCAATTTACCCTTGGTCCCAACGTAAATTAACCGGCGCATCATGTTTACCAAGAATAGCTCATGCTGCCACTCAACACAACGACCGCGTAGTGTGCCTGTTTGGCGGGGTTACCAAAGGGGCCCCGAAGAAAGATCTTTATTTAATCGACCCAGTGAACTTATCAGCATCTGCCACAAGCACCGGTGGTGACGCTCCAAGTGCCCGCTGCTATCATTCCATTGTTTCTATTGGAAATCAGCTTATTGGTAAGAATTCACTATTCAATGAAGCCGGCACCGAGTCCAACCGAATTTAACTCTCGCAATTTTTAGTGTTTGGAGGTCAACTTAAGAGCCCTGCCGATCATGGTGACAATACTGTGTATTCACTTAATATACGTATGTAATTTCAAGTGTTCTTTTCTATGATACTTTCATCTAGGTGCACTAAATTCACATTTCGATCTAAGAAACCCGCCAATGGACTCGAACTTTATCCGACAGTAGCGACCCAGTACCTAGACAAGCACATGCAGCTGCTGTCTCTGCTAATCAAATGTATATTCATGGAGGTCACACTGTGAATGGCCAGATGCTCGGTGATTTGTTGATCTTTCATGTTGGTGCAGGTAATATTGGAGCTTCCTGCTTGATAGTCCCATTTTTAGTACGCCATATTCAATTAGCACCTCTTCTTTCTAGGCTGGGAATACGTTACCTACAAAAATGAAGGCCCATCACCACGATCTGGACATTCATGTGTCATCGTGGACAATTTCTTCTATATGCAAGTACTCCTCATCAGATAGGCGTCTGGTCGCGATGACCACTGACCGTTGAATTTTTTGCATTTCCTTAGATTTGGTGGTTCCGACGGCCATACCTTACTCAACGATATATGGTGCTTTGACCTTTCATCACATCTATGGACGAATATCAATGCTATGGGATATGTTCCCTCCCCGAGAGAAGGTGCATCTATAGCCTATGCAGATGGTGCTATTTATTTATTTGGTGGTCGAAGTACGGACGGCCAAGCGCTCGGTGATCTATGTGCATACCGCATTTACAGTGAGTGTTTGTAGACTGTGAAAGATTTTGACCTGGTTGCCCGTCATTTTAATTTTTTCTCCCTCATGGCACATTAGACCAACGATGGTATATGTTCCAAAACATGGGTCCAGCTCCATCTCCACGATATGGTCACTCTCTGACTGCTATCCAGGAAAAAATCTTCGTCATTGGTGGATTGTTGCCTCCAAAAGCAGAAGATCCCAATCTAGTTCATGTTCTCGACACCAGTGAGTATTTTTTTGGCTATCATCATTGATGCGGTCGTAGTCTCTAATCGCCATCGTCGATAGGTCGCATCAAGTACCCTTCAGACGCAGGGATAAACGGATCCCCCCAAGGAGTGAGAACACCAGAGAACCTTGGCCCTCAAATCAGACGATCATATCAAGAACTTGCGGAAAGAGGACCCCCTTCACCACGCTCTGCCCAGGCCAACAATGGGCCGATGCTCAACCCGTCACCTCCACATGGACAACCACCCTCTCCAAAATATCCTCCAGCACCCATGCCTCTTCCTAATGGGCACTCATCATCACAGATGCAACGGGTTAGTCATTTCCCCGATGACGATGGCCAGTTGCGCCGCATGACTTCCAATCGAGCCACATTGAAAGAGCCTGTCCGCACGGAAGCCAGCCGACCTGCTCGATCCGCCTCTTTACGCCATGGCAATAAAGCTGGTAATTTATCACATTCAGCCTCATCGGGAAGCATTCGAAGCGCAGCTGATCAACGCGCAGTGCGACCCATGGAACAACAGCAACACTCCTATGGACAAGGAGACTATGATTACATGGACAAGGATGACACAACTGGACACCCGCCACAGTCTCCTCCCACCCCGCTCCCAACTGGTCAGAACACCCCGTCACCTGTTCCGGCGCAGCGAAGAGGACCGTTATCGACCAAGACATCGACTTCACAGCTTTCTATGGAGCATAATCGTACAGACAGCGGATCACCATCACTTCATAATGATGCAACTCTCCAAGCGGCTCAAGAAGAGCGTCAAGCCCTTTTGCGTGAAATTAAGAATCGTGATGCGGTGATTGCTGATATGAAGAGTAAGGAGCAGTGGTGGCGTACAGAAGTCTCACTGGCCAGAAAGATGAGAGTTGGTAGCCCTACTCACGAGGACCGATTCGGGTTCTCCGAAGAAGATCTATCTAATGGAGTGTTTGATGTCGGCAACATGAACGAAGAGCAAGCGAATGTGTTTGATGAACTGGTCAAATGCAAGATGGAAATTAAGCGGGTTCGAGCTCTCATTGGACATCAAGGTCACCAGGCTGTTAACACGGTGGTGGAAGCAGACAAGATGCGATTGGCAGCATTGCAAGAAGCCGCTTATTTCAAGAGCAAATACATGGCGTTGAAATCGGGTCAAAAGGATGAGGTGGACAAAGTGGAAGCAGAAAGAATGCAGCAACTGGAACAACGCCTTGCCTCGGCATTATCGAACAGTGAATCCAAACAACGCGACTTGGATCGCGTTCAACGACAAGCTGGACATGATCAAGCTGCTCGACGATTAGCCCAAGAGCGAGCCCAACAAGCGCAACAAGATGCTAAAATGGCCCAACAAGCACAAGCGCGCGCATTGGAAGAAAACACTGAACTCCATGCACGAGCCAACACAGCCGAAGCACAAGCTCGAGATTACGCTACTCGCATGGCCGATTTGAGCAATCGACTTGCTGAAGCGTTGTCCTCGACCAAAGCAACTGGATCACTGTCTGACGCCAAACTCCAAATCACCAAACTGGAAGCAGCCAACATCAAAGCAAGAGGTGAGGTTGCTTCCTTGCAACAGCAGCTCGCAGCCAGTATGGATGAGATTGCTACTCTCTCGAATACGGTATCGAAACAAGAAGCCGAGCTCACGGAATATGTCCGCAAACTTGAAGATGCCGAAGTGAAGGTTGCCATGATGAAGCATGCTATGATCAACAAGGGCTTTAAAATTCACGAACAAGACTTTGATCAAGACTCGTCCACCGGGCAGATGGCCAAACTCCAAGCTGAGATTGCCAGCGCTCGTCGACTGTGTGATAACTTGGTAGAATCAGAGAGACTCGCCAACGAAAAGGCGCAAGCCGCGATCAATGAAGCGGAAAATTATCGCAAGCGTCTTGCCGAGCGAGGTGATGTTCAAGATACCGTCAACAAGAACCAAGAAAGTCTCGCCAATGTTAGTGTCATTGAAGAACAGTTGCGGGCCAGAATCCGTCAATTGGAGGACGATTTGGAGGATGGCAGATATGAGCATGAGGTAAGCCAACATTGTACAAATACGTGGATATAAACCCCCCAATACGACTAACATGAGGGAAATGATCTCATAGGTCGAGGACTGGAAGAGCAAGGCTGCCCATGCCAAGGAAGAACTTGAATTGGTAATGCAAACCGTCCATCACTTGAAGCAAAACAACTCCGATCTGGAAAACGATTTGAAATCGGCTTTGAATCAGCAACTATCCAGCACTAAACTCTCTGATGAGAAACAAACTTGGCTCCGCGAAAAAGCTGTATTGGAATCCCAATTGTATGATCTCCGTGAAAAACTAGCTGGTCTAGAAAACACTGCGTTGGATTCCATGTCCCGTGCTGAAGAGCTTACCAATGATGTTAAGCAGCTTGAAGACGACCGCGAGATATTGATGGCTGACCGCCAAAAATATAAATCGCGTTACAATGAACACAAGAAGGAAGCTCGTCGTCATATCCAAGATTTGACGGAGGAGATTGAACGCTTGAGTGAAGCGTTAGAGAACACCAATTCGGCGTTGGAACACACCAATACTGAATTGGACGAAACCCGCTTAATGAACCAGAAACTCAAAAAGGATTTAGAGACTGTCAAGCCGCAAGGTGGAGCTTCGTCTGTCCATGATTGGGAAGACCAACGAGCGCAGTACGAAGATGAAATTGCTCAGCGGGAACGACAGGTCCATAACTTAACTCTGGAACGACAAGCTTTGCAACAACAATACAAGGATGCACAGCATAAAATTGAATTGTTACTGGAACAGTTAGATGAACCTTCCCATCATCAGGATACCTCAAATAACGATGATGGTTACCCACGAGATACAAAGCATAACTCTTTTCTTGAGCATGTAGCCGCCGCCTAGTGTGTATGTTTCATTTTACTTGCCAACCTCCCTTCCGTCGCATTGTACACTTCGCATTGACCTTAAAACCAATTCTTCATTTTCTTTACTTTTCTGTGTCATGACTATCCGCCTTGAATCCCTCCTTTCCACCTTCAAGTCACGTTGTTGAATGGTGGATTCCTTTTTATGAGCAAATCATTTGCAATAGAAATAAAAAGCAATAGCTAACTACGACAACATTAGGTGGTCTTCTTTGTAGCTCTTTTTTTGGTTGCCGTGGGTTCTTCGTCCTTGCTGTCGTTCCTTCTCTTTTTAGGAGCTGGCTTAGGAGCCTCTTCGCCGTCGTCCTTGGGAGCAGCAGCCTTGCGACCACGCTTCTTAGGTTCGGGCTTTTCTTGGTCTTCGGTCTTTGCCTTGGATCCTTTCTTGGGCTTTGCTTCGTCGTCTTTTTTGGCGGCTGCCTTCTTCCCAGTAGCTTTGGCCTTTGGCTTCTCTTCCTTTTTCTCTTCTTCGTCACTGCCAACACAGGGTCACTCTCGATATTCACAATGAAAAAAAAAAAAAAAATTCATGCCATACCCTTCTGGTTCTTCGGATTCTGAAACATGACCCTCCTCAAGAGCAGTCTTTACTCGTTCCTGATCCTCTTCATGAAGGTCACTAAATCCAATCAAGTCTTCTTCAACACTGTCAAGCGATTGGAGGTTTTCAAGCACCTTGGGGGTGGTACACTTCCTACGTAAGACGGTAGGTTAGTATACCCATTACTGGTCCATTCAACATTGCTTTCCACTCACCAGTGACGCCATGCGACTCCTGTAAATTGTCCACCCTCTATCTCCGAACCGAGACGGAGGTCGCCAGACTGCAGGCAAAGAAACTATCGATCAACTGGGTTGTTGATTAGCGCTAGAAATCGGACCAGTCTTACCTTGATGCTCCGATCCTCCGATTGACACGTCTTCTTAGGACCCTTACACTTGGATCGACCACTCTAAACGCGCCGCGCCCCCGAGAAAGTGATAGTGAGTATGGATGATGATGATCCATCCGTGAAGGCATAAAGGGTGTCAAGGTACCTTTGCATACTGGAGGGATTCGAAGTAGATGAGATGCAGATGGGGTGGGTGGGAATGATGAGGAATGTGAGTTGTGTGTGTCTGACTGACATGGACGGGTTCTCCGGTGCCTTACTTCAATGTGGTATGGCATATCGAATATTTTTTTTTTCTTTTGAAACAGAAAAGGTTTCGTTGAGATGGACGAGACAGCGGGATTCTAACCCTTTTATCCTAATTATTTTTTTTTTTTCTTCTGTGCTGGCTGATACTTTTTTTATTTCCTTGAATCTCTTTCTTTTCCATTCTTTCGTTTCCCCCAAGAGAAAGAGAATTCCGAACAGCAAAAAGAAACCTGCTTTTTTTCTCTTTTGCATGTGTTAAATCCCTGACTCTATAAATCTCCCACTCTTCATCATTTGTCTTCATCATCTGAAATCCCGCAATGGCCAGCCCACACCATAACTTGTCCCAAACCCTTGACAATTCCACCGCTTCCCCCGCTAAAACACAATCCTCATCCTCTTCTTCCAATGTCGTTGGCGTGCATTATCGTGTTGGAAAGCGGATAGGAGAAGGTTCATTTGGTATAATTTACGAAGGTACCACCCCCACCATCCCACACCCCATGTAACGGAGAATATTATGCCGACTAAATGTACTTGTCTTTTTAAGGAACTAATCTGTTAAACAACCAACAAGTGGCTATCAAGTTTGAACCGAGAAAGAGTGATGCTCCACAATTACGAGATGAATACAGAGCGTACAAGATCTTGTCTGGCACCCGTACGTAGTAGTAAATTATATGAGGTCTACTGTTTCTGATGATCCCTAATTTTTTCCATCATGTCCCCCCTTATCAGCCGGCATACCCAATGCTTATTACTTTGGTCAAGAAGGTCTTCACAATATTCTGGTCATTGATCTCCTGGGTCCAAGCTTGGAAGATATGTTTGATATGTGCGGCCGCAAGTTTTCCATTAAAACCGTCGCTATGCTGGCTAAACACATGGTAAATGTCACCGAAAATTCTTTCACCCTGGGTTTCTTAAAAGTCGTCAAGGAAAAAATGAATGCTCATTGTCCAATTTCGTACAGTTGACTCGTGTTCAGTCCATTCACGACCATAATCTCATTTACCGCGATATTAAGCCAGACAACTTTTTGATCGGCAAACCAGGCACTAAAACCGCTAACAATGTATTCCTGGTCGACTTTGGTATGGCCAAGCAATACAGAGACCCTAAAACAAAGCAGCATATTCCTTATAGAGAACGCAAGAGTCTTTCCGGAACTGCTCGCTATATGAGTATCAATACCCATCTTGGACGAGGTAACATAGAAGCGATCGATTTTTTTTTTTTTAAAAAAAAAAAGAGAAGAGCCATGTTTTCGCTAACCATCGTATCCTTCATCATAGAGCAATCTCGACGTGATGACTTGGAAGCATTGGGCCATGTCTTCATGTACTTTTTACGTGGATCCCTCCCTTGGCAAGGCTTGAAAGCCGCTACCAACAAGCAAAAGTATGAAAAGATTGGTGATAAAAAGCAAAGTACGGTCATTAAGGATCTGTGTGATGGATTCCCAGGTACGTTCGGTGATGGTCTATTAATAACCCTCGTGTGTCGATCCTTATGTATTATTACGTTTTGTAGAAGAATTTGGCATTTACTTGCAATATGTCCGCAAATTGGGCTTTGAGGAAACCCCCGACTACGACTTCTTGCGTGAATTGTTTACCAAGGCACTCAAGACATCAGGAGAAACAGAAGACGGCGTTTACGACTGGATGCTGTTGAATGATGGAAAGGGTTGGGAGTCCATGAGTAAGCAGGCTGCACGACGAGCTGCTACCCAACAACCCCATTTGCAAAAGAAACAAACCGCTCATGATAAACATGCACCTGCAAAACATCTCACCAACAACTATGATCACCCTGCAGGCGATGGTCTTCAGAATGATACCCGGGCTCATAAGCCAATAACCAAGAAGCGAAGCTTCATGCAAAAGCTTTTTGTTTGTGGTGCTTAAAAAACCCCCCACTATTTTCCAAACTATCACCCTACCTTACCTCCATCCCTTCGCACGCGCACCCTCATTCTTACCTGAACGAACCTCCCTCCTTTTTTCCCGAGCGATTCTTTTCCACACACTTCTTTTTCTCTGCAGTCCTTTTTCTTTCTTTGTATTCACGCTCGCTATGCCATGTTTCATGCTCTGCTTGCTTTCAATTAATTTGACATACCACCCACTTCGTACATGCTCTTGACCGTGGAATTTGTCTTTCACAAATGCTCTATGCTGAATCGATCTTGTTTCTAACCCTTGTTGTCGCTATTTTTCTTCTGTCTCTTTAAATTGAATTCACATTGCATAATAGAATTTCAATAAAATCATTCGCAAGCTAAGTCCACCCCCTTCCCCCGCGAGATACAGCGGCCAGATGCATTTACGGCATGTTCCGTAGTTAATGAAATTTTTCCTGCGTTTATTTTTTCCCATCCAGGTAGACTTTTTACATTCCTAGTGGGGGAAACAACCAATCCTCCCGGTTATATCTGCAACCTACATTGGTACTAAGCTTCTACAAGCTGGACCTGCGAGAGAATACTGCTGACATTCTCGCTGTAACTTGCATGACCTTCAATGCCCACCTGGACATTTTCTATTCCTGGAACATGAGTGATAGGGGACAGCCCGGCGACTTCCGTTGACATGGAATGGAGTCGATACACAGTGGCTGCAATCAGCGTTAGGCAAATAGGAAGAAGGACCGGAGAATAGTAAATCATGCCCTTACCTAGAACCCAGTCATTAGGAGAATAGCAGTTGATGAATTGATGGCTAACCACGGAGCGCATGGCCATCCATAATTTCTTGTTGGTGCTCGAAATGGGGGCTCCCATGAGGACCACGTTGTCGATAATGCCGAACTGGCCACGTTCAGCCAATTCCTGGAGGCATTGTGTGATCACCAACGTTCCAACACTGAATCCAATCTAATAGGTGTTAGCGACGATCGCGTTCTTTGTCCATACAAACAATAACGATGTGCGTGCATTACCAGTGTGCAGGGACGTTTGCCGTGCACTCTTTGTTCTAGAACATCGGCCAATACTGCAGTGGAACGACCGTTTAATTGACGCACTATCGAATTATGATTCCGTCAGTCAGATCGTAAACCTTACCTATGCCAGCTTTTATCGATCGGTCAGATGCGATCTGCCACGGGTTGTCAATTACATCAGTGGCCTTCAACAGAGTAGCTGGTAGTGCGACGGCCGCTGGAAGTACGTGCTAGTCAGTGGCCATGCGATGACACTATGAGAAAACAAGGGTAGCTTACCAAAGAAAGCTTGCAAGGCGGTCATTTTTAAGGCTTCTTTTCCGGCGTACTTAAAAGCTTCATTCCGAATGAATGATTTGAAAGCACGCCCAAGGTCAAGCAAAGCAGCTTTTTCATAGCTTACACAATAAATATCTTGATACGCTTTGGACTTGTGAAAAGCGATCTCCCAGGGAGTCTGAATTGCGTGGAGTTGATTATCATTCAAGCGGAGCAAACAAAAGTCGAAAAAACTACAGTGGTCATCATGACGCGAGAGACACTTACAGTACAAAGCGAAGCATCATCCTGTAAATATCCAGACACGCATATAGTACAGTTGAGTGATGGTATGTGGGGTATACTGGGATCAAGGACTTGCTCAAAGTTGAAGTCATCAATACCACGAGTTCTTCGATGCAATTTCCATCCTATAAATAAAATGATGAACCCTAACTGGATGCTACTACTTGCCACTATGTTCCTTGGAGGTTACCTGTTAATCCACCTCCTGTTAAGCCGAATAGTCCGGTCATGAGAGCAATGCCTCCAGCTGTGGTGAAAAATGTCGCTCCAGTGAGACCAACCACGAGAGGTGCCACCAAAGGGGCTGCCAGACCTCCTGTCAACGCTAAATTTCGAGAACATCAGTGCATCATAATAAAAATCACCAACAAGACAATCCATGTCAATAAATATTTACCTATTACAGCCCCTCCAGCAGCTGCTCCTGCTCCCATTTTAACCCATCGCCAAGCTTTATTCCTTCTGCTGGCATCTTCCATAGCAGCCGATGCACTTTCTCCCATGTCGTTGGTTCGCGTCCCCGATTCGGCGCCATTTCGTTCTTGTAGTTTGAAATAGATCTGTTGACCCACTGCTCGCTCAGCCATGTTGACGTCTGCGGGTGCTAGTTGCATGGCATGTGCCACTTCTAAGAGAAACCGACGTTCTCTCGCGTCGTATTTCATTTCGATATCGGCTTGACTGAATCATAGATTTTATGTCAAATATTTGGCCGATAAATTCATCAAGGATGGCATGGTATACATACCTCTCTGGCTGAAGATCCAGAATAACAGATAAAAGGTCCAAAATGACTTGAAATCGAACATCTTCTGGAGTAAGAAGATATGTGGTAGCCTTGCTAAGGGGAATGTCTGAACATACGGTTAATGATATGTTTCACATACTCTGGAAAAAAAAATCCTGTATATGGTGCTACCTTTAGGTGCCGTGGTGTCGGTATGGTAATGACGAGCTAGGCGCTTCCACAGTCCTATCAACCACTCATCGTCGGTGACAGAGATTTCTCTTATTCTAACAAAAGCAACTTGAATAATAGTGTTGATGGCCTGGTGTTGGTCTTGATTCCACTTGGGTTGAGATGAGTCAATCATTTGGTTTGAAAAAGGATCTCGAAACTCAGCAGCGTTAAAGTCATTTGTTGTTCACTTTCCCAACATGTCGGATAATCAAGCCGTGGCAGAGACTGCTCATAAGCAGGCAATTAAAGCCGCTGGCTTCCTGGTTGGCGTTTCAGAAGATAGAAACAAGCGATGCCGAAGGACTATGGAAGATGCGCATGCTTGCATCCCTCAATTTGGGGGCATGGACCGACAAGGCTTCTTTGGGATTTATGACGGTCATGCGGGTAAAGCTACGGCTGAATGGTGCGGCCATAATCTCCACAAAGTAAATCAATATTACTGCTTAAACCCCTCCAAACATCATTCCGCAAACTAAATCTTACGACCCTTCTCTTAGACTTTCTTGTCTTCCTTGACAGACAATCCCGATGCACCAGTCTCCGATGTACTCAACATCGCTTTTCTGAGTGCTGATCGACAACTGAATGAAAAGGAAGGTCAACACAGTGGATGTACAGCAGTGGTTGCCTACGTAGAGGCGAAAAAGAAAAGTTCAAAGGTATGTGTGAGCATGTCCAACGCTGCGCGAACGTTCGTCCCGCTCATTTGCATATCCCACACACAGCGTATTCTTTACACAGCCAACGTCGGAGATGCACGGGCCGTTTTGTGGTAAGAAAATAACCCCTCCCCTCCGCTTCTCATCGTCGTGCTTACCTTAACACTCCCTCTAGTCGTAACGGTCAAGCCGTTCGTCTTTCATACGACCACAAGGGTAGCGATGCCAACGAAGCAAAAAGAATAATAGATTTAGGAGGATTTATGATGAATAATCGCGTCAATGGTAAGTCAAGTCACCCAATGGATACATCTTAAAAGGCTCTCAATATTGATGGCACCCATCATAGGTGTTTTGGCTGTCACTCGTTCTTTAGGAGATCATACTATGAAAGAATTTGTGGTGGGTAATCCTTATACGACAGAAACTGAACTTACAGAAGAGGACTCTTTTATTATATTGGCATGTGACGGGGTATGTGTTATGGTAGCTGAAATGCAGTGTACCCCACATGTTTGATTCACCTTTTTTTTCCTCAGTTGTGGGATGTTTGCAACGATAACGACGCTGTGGATCTTATAAAGGATGTTTTAGATCCTCAGGAAGCTAGCCAAAAGCTGCTGGATCATGCTCTGGCCAACTTCAGTACGGATAATCTCACTGTCATGGTAATAAGACTGCAAGATTAGAATGTTAGCCGCTGGATATCGGCTTTCGGTTGCTGCCAACAATGATGAACCTTCCTTTCGATACACGTTGTATGGTGTTGGCATTCCCTACTCATTGTCTCTCTATTTGGCTTTCTGAACTTTTTGGTGCTTTCAGTGTTGTTTTCTTGATCGAATTATTTCTTTCTATAAGGGTCTCCAATGGGTAAATTACTCACTTTTAATGGACGTTGCACTTTTTTTCTTCCAAAGGAAACAAGAGCTTTTTCTTTACACTTAGTTCCTCCACTCTTCTCTATACAGACATTGTTTTTATTTTCTTCTCCTTTCTATACCATAGTGTGTTGACAGAAACAGCCAAAACAAAAAAATTTACAAATGCTCTATGCTAACGAGTCTCAATCCACGTCCTTAAATTCGCCTTCTATGATGCGTGGTTTTTCTCGGCTGTTAAGAGACGCCGGTAGTATCATCTCACGGTCCCATTGTGGCCAATAGAGAGAGGTTTTTTCAAGATTGACTTGGGATCCACTGATCGATCCTCGAGCCCGGGCGAAGCCTTTCATGTCATTATCGCTAGTGAAAGTGAATTCAATATCCAAATAGGACTTTGACTCATGCTGCCCGTTGATCGTAGCGGAAGAACGAGAAGATGACGTCGCTTGTACATCACTGAAGCTGATGTTGAATGAGTCGTTCGTAGACATGTATCTTGATATTTCCGAAGATGGTGCCTCAACCTCTTCCTTAATTCGTTCGATGGCTTGTTTCCGGAGCGCAGGCGTTAGCTGCGATTGATCCGATGCGAACATAGAGCCTATGTTGGTCAATGGATTTGGTATTCTTCCATCAGCCACGGAGCTGAATTCTTTTTGCACTCCACGAATTTGCCGCCAGTTTCGCCATAAAAACACCGCGCCAATTCCTCCCACCGTCACCAACAAAATAGGTCCAATGAAGATGGTCAATAAGATACCACCACCAAACGCAGAGATGAGTGACGCTCTTCGCTGCCATTTAGTAAGAGTATTGAACAGTTTCTTTGGTGACGTGGAAAGCAGCCTCAATTGGTTTTGCTGAGCAACAGTATCCAGTTTCACCAAAGTATGACGTTTTCCTAGCCCAGATATCGTTGGTGGGCGCATGAATGTGGTTCGCGCTACAGTCGAATAGCCAAGGGGCCGGTATGCTGGTGTCAGCCCCATCGGCCTATAATATCGAATAGCTTCACCTTTAAAGCAAGAGAGACGCGAGAGTGGGGCTTGGAACAATGGACGTTTAAACATGTTGGTTGCCATTCCGAAGAAGCAGGACAAGAAAATGAGCGCTTGGGCTCGGACAGTCACACGTACTGTAAGTAGCGGAAAACGTGAGCAAAAAGAGCGTCACTGGCATTTTACCGCAGCGTCGTTTCATGAATCTCTCAGCAATTCATTCCAAAAGGATCGTGTCTACTCACTTTCCAAGGCTCTGTCATTGGCAACGACAACCTATTTCTTTTATTCATTGCCGTTCCTTATCTTCAATGACAAGTGACACTCACGTCAAACAGGCCACAACACACAAAAGCTTCAAGCTCTCCAAACCGTTCCTCGATAAATACAAAGACGCTATTCCTCCATTTGGCTTCAATGGGTTAGGAGAGATAGTCTATCGGCGAACATACTCGCGTCTGAAAGACGATGGCGAGAGAGAACAATGGTAAAACCGTTCGTGCCACAGTTTCATTTCCATCCCCGACATGACAGAATGAACCGTAATCATTGATAATTCTGCCTGTAGGTGGGAAACCGTAGAAAGAGTTGTCAATGGGACATTTAACATGCAGAAGCGATGGATAGATTCCAATGACCTTCACTGGGATGCAGCACAATCACAATTATCTGCTCAGAATATGTACGATCGGATATACAAAATGAAATTTCTACCGCCTGGACGCGGACTTTGGGCAATGGGGTCTCCCCTAACTGAGGAGCGCAGGATGTTTGCTGCCTTAAACAACTGCGCATTTGTCAGTACGGAAACAATGTGGGATGGTAATCCATCGCTCCCGTTTACTTTTATGATGGATGCTGCAATGCTTGGGTAAGGGTTGTTCAATTCAACGCAGGCAGGTAGACTTTAAGCACACATCTCATCATGCTGTTTTCTTCAGAGTCGGCGTCGGCTTTGACACGAAAGGCTCAGCTGTAGCGAACCACAAGAGCCTTACTGTTTTTGCACCTTCAAATTCCAACACTAAGAATTATGTAATACCAGACTCGAGGGAAGGTATGTATCAGATATATGTTGGATGATTATCCGGCCTCCGAAAATAACCCATCGATCGATAGGCTGGGTACATTCTGTTGGCCGATTGCTTGATTCGTACCTTTTGAAGAATAACTCAGTGGTGGTAAGATGAATCTTCATGCAATCATCATAACATCATATCCTAATGGTTTATTTTGCAGACGTTCGATTACACTCAAATTAGACCAGCCGGTCGGCCTATAAAGGGATTCGGCGGGCTGTCCTCCGGACCAGATCCCCTTGAACAACTTCATGAACACATCCGTAATGTACTGGACAAAAATGCCGGCAAACCATTGACTACAACCTCCATTGTTGACATAATGAACATGATTGGGAAATGTGTTGTTAGTGGAAATGTAGGTCCTCATTGTTTGTGCTGTCATCATATTGACTAGGTTTTCTCACTGAACTTTTTCTACTCAGGTGCGCAGAACAGCAGAAATTGCCTTCGGAGACCCTGCAGATGAAGAGTATGTGGACCTTAAAAACTACGAAGTAAATCCTCATCGAGCCGAGTACGGATGGACTAGCAATAACTCGGTAGGTTCCAGTATTTTTTACAGTCAGTCTAATACGTCTTACCTAACTTTTTTTCCAAAGGTGTTTGCAAATCTTGGAATGGACTATTGCGATGTTGTAAAGCGCATTATTGCCAACGGTGAGCCAGGATTTTCGTGGCTTCAGAATGCTCAGCAATATAGTCGCATGATCGATCCTCCAGATTTTAAGGATTATCGTGCTAAAGGTGGCAACCCGTGCCTAGAGCAAACCTTAGAATCCATGGAACTCTGCTGTTTGGTGGAGACTTTCCCTACGAACCACGATGATATCGCAGATTATTTGGAAACTCTAAAATATGCTTTTTTGTATGCAAAGACTGTCACTTTGGGTACGACTCACTGGCCCGAGAGTAATGCTGTGATGCTCCGAAATCGGCGCATTGGAACCAGTATGAGTGGAATAGCACAATTTATAAGCAGACGAGGTACGATATTAACCATGTTTGGGATTACATTGACTCAAACTAACACTATCCAAGGACTTGATGATCTCAAGACATGGTGTGAGGCTGGGTATCAGCAAATACAATCCGTCGATAAAGAGTAAGTACCGTCATTGGAAACTGACAAGTGCTATATTTGGCCTCCCAATGGTAACCCTCTGTCTCCCAACACAGACTCTCAGAATGGCTCTGCGTGCCACAATCTATCAAGACCACTACCATTAAACCTAGTGGAACAGTATCATTATTGGCTGGAGGTGAGGTTTGAATGGGTTCATCAAAATGATGCATATATAATATCAAAGCGATGTTGTTGACTTTGCTCAAATAGCGACGCCCGGTATGCATTATCCCGAGTCAAGGTATTGCATTCGACGCGTTAGAATATCTAAGCACTCAGAATTGATCGTACCTTTAACTGAAATCGGGTACACGGTGGAGCAAGATGTTGTGGAAGCTAATTCAATGGTTGTGGAAATACCCATCGATCACGGCGAAGGAGTTCGAGACTTGACACAAGTCTCCATGTGGGAGCAACTTAGTCTAGCAGCCTTCCTTCAACGATACTGGAGCGATAATCAGGTTTCCTCAACCATCACCTTTGATCCCAAAACCGAAGGTTCAAACATAGAACACGCACTACATTATTTTCAATATCAGTTGAAGGGAATATCTTTCCTTCCACGTCTTCCCCTTGGCGCTTATGCGCAAATGCCATTCGAGGCAATCACGGAGCAGAAATATGAAGAGCTCATCAGCAAGCTCAAAACTCTTCCAGAACCTTCGGTTCCTAAACCGCCACGACATCCACCATCTCGAAATTCAAAATATAAACGACCCAACGTGGATCTCAGGAACTACAAAATCAAGGACAAGACAGACCCGGAAATGGAGTTATTCTGCGATTCCACAAGTTGTGTTGTAGTGGAGACAGGTGAAAATTATAATAATTCGGACAAGTCTAAGCAATAATCTTATGATGTACATCACTGAATGTTTGCTATTTATTTCAAATACTGTGCTAAATATGGCACCAAAGAGAAATCCATAAATTCATCAGATCGTTTGAGATCCAGAAATGCCCATTGTAGGTCAAACGCGTGGTCCGCTCTACAGATGTGTGGAAAGAAAGATCGTCAATATGAGGTGTTACTATGACCAACATGGCGTGCAACAACAAAATGAAATATCTTTACCCTTCCACCAGCAGCAGCTGAGATTTTATGTTGTTCTTCTGTAAAGCTTCGTACATCGCCTCAGCATGCGTGTAGGGTGTCAGACTATCTGCCTTGCCGTGAATGACGAAAGTTGGCGGGTATGAACTGTGGACATTCGAGCGTGGAGAGTACTTCTGGAGCAATGAATTATCGTAATTCTCCCCAAAGTAAGCCTCTAGTATCTTGTCATGTTGTACCATCCATGCCAAATAAGCCATGCGTCCTTTGTGTTCTGCGGATTCCCACTCGGTTGATGTGCATACAGCTTTTTTGTTAACGAAGGAAAATGCTTCTTCTTCAGTGACTTCCATTTTCCGAAGGCTCATCCAGGACACATCGTTCAAACCAAAGTCCGTTTGACCATACAAAGAAACTAAACATTTTGGTGGTTCTTCGAGCATGTAGCCTGCGATAAGGGCAAGTCTGGCTCCAGCAGAGCTTCCAATGATTGCGATATTGTCAACATCTATACTATAAAGATCATTTACTTTGGTTCTCATCCACTGGTATGCGTCAATAACATCCTGACAAGCGTCTTGGAATTTGGATTCAGGGATAAGTCGATAGTCTGCACTAACAACAATCCAGTTCTTCTCTGTAAACTTGGTAACTTGGCTCATGGGCAACATGCTGCGATGTCCGATCGTCATTCCTCCACCATGTAGATACAAAATGGCAGAATATTGCTGGTCAGCAGCATGATTATCGGGTAGATAAACATCGGCATGAATATCAACACCGTCGACGGTCTTGAATACAATAGTCTGACTTGAAACCATGATGTAGAGAGCGAGAAGCCGAGCTAACACGAAGCGATCAAGCTTATTTAAGAGGCTCTGTTCGTAACCATGTCCCACGGTTGCCGCTTAATCAATGTACCGTGACTAACAGCCTTACTGTGTGGTCAAGGTGCTGCTCCAGGTGGTGCTCTATCTTCTCCTTGATATCAGTAGCATCAGCTAAAGAATGTCTTCATTATGGAATTTACTGTAACAATCACCCGCTATACGCTTTTTGTGGGGTTGCATTTACAACGTATGATATTTCAGGTCATACTACTTATGAGAACAGTCCTTTTATTTTACTCTACAACTGTACTTTGTTCACCTCTTTGAAGTAGCACACAACTCTATATTGTTAAGGTAATAAAGGTGGGGTTTCACATCTCTCCACATGACCATTTGGAAGTGTTTAATCATAAGGGATGCTGCTTCTGGGCATTGAAAATTCACCAATAACTTTTATTTTGCTATCGCTTTCATTTACTGCGTCAACGTGAATTCGGCGCCGCTTACTTTGAGCGACCTGTCTGCTTTGCAATAACTCGGCTGATAGCGCACACATTGGTTTGATGTATTCCTGTATATTTCATCGAACATGTCAAATATGATTAATCACTATTAAGGGACATAAGAGTTTTGTAAGATTACAAAAGTACCACCTCTCAAAGGTTGATGATCTGGACGATCCGCTTACGGCACGTTGCAATTGTCATTGGCTGCTGGAGATATGTACATAGCGCTTTTCACATACAATAAGTGAAATACGCTGTGGCAAAAAACAGAAATAGAAGATAATATCTGGTAGCTTTCCGCTAAAGCTATGGGTACAGCGTATGCTGCCTTCTGGAAAGCAGATGAGTCATATAAAATGCGTAAACTTAATCTCACCATGGCTCAATTTCTTTGAGCAAAAAGGATTATCACAGTGTTTATAAAAGTTAGAACATTACATAAAAAATATTATTCGAACGGTGTTTCGAGAGCTGGGCACTAAGAAAGCTGTCTGTGATAGGTCAAGATCAATCCCATCATCTACAGCATACAATTTTAATCCCCACAGTATCAGATACCGGTTATCTCAGTTGCTGTTCAGCATTGAGTGTAGCACATAGTCAAGCCATTTAATGTTTTTTGCCGCAATCCTACCGTTTTGGATATTGGGCAACCAGTAAAATGTGGTGGTCTTGGGCATGCCTTCTTGTCATTTGTGACGGGGTACAACTGACGGGCTGTGGTGACGTGAAAAGAGAAAATGTAGATTGAAATTTTTTTTTTTTTGGCTTAGACAATAGCTTTTCACTTTAATATCCGTCCCCCACTTTGAAGTCATGCGTAGTCTCGTCGTTTTCTCGGGTTCCTCACACCCACAATTGACAGCGCAGATTTGCCAGAGAGTTGGTGTCGAACCTGGTAAAGCCAATCTCGCTAAATTCAGCAACAGCGAAACAAGTGTGGAGATCTTGGAAACGGTCCGAGGTGCCGATGTCTACATTGTCCAGGTATGAGGGTATGCTTCATAACAAAACGGCAGACTCATATATACTTACTACTGGAAGAGTAGAGTGGATGTGGAAAGGTTAACGATAATTTGATCGAGCTTTTGGTCATGATCCAAGCTTGCAAAACAGCTTCAGCTCGAAAAGTGACGGCCGTTATCCCCTGCTTCCCATATTCTCGACAATCCGATGCTCCCTTCAAGCGATCTGGTGCTCCACTTACTTCAGCTCCACCTATGACTGTACCCTCCACACCAAAGATAAATGACTTTAACGCCGAGTATCCCTTCAATCAAGAGACTAGCGGCTCGGTTGAAATGAATGATCTTAACAGCAAGATCCATAATTTGCATATCCCTACACCTAACAATTCAAATCAGGCACTGCCCGCTCAACCTCAGGGAGGCTACAAGCAGTGGCTTGCACGAGCTGGTACTCTAATTGCGAACCTGCTAACATGTGCTGGTAAGGTGCATCTATCTTGATAAGTTATTATGACAAACCCTAGGTATTCAACTTTGTGTTTGGTTACTTTGCATAGGAGCCGATCACATCATCACCATGGATCTTCATGACTCTCAATTCCAAGGATTTTTTGATTGTCCTGTTGACAACTTGAGATCAATGCCCCTCATGTTAAAGTATATACAAGAAAATATTCCTAATTACCAAGAAGCTGTCATAATATCTCCAGATGCCGGTGGCGCAAAACGGTATGTTACCAGCTCAGTCAGCCATGCTATGCAATAATAGTCAGCTCATGTTTTTTTTTCCTTTATAGCGCAACGTCAATAGCAGATAAACTCAGCATGGATTTTGCATTGATTCACAAAGAAAGACGTCATGCTGAAAAACCAAACAAAGCCGACATGATGCTTGTCGGTGATGTCCGCGATAAAGTATGTATTCTCATCGATGACATTGCCGATACCTCCTTCACCATCACCAAGGCTGCCAAGGTTTTGCACGACAATGGTGCCATTAAGATCTATGCTATCATCACACATGCCATCATGAGTGGCGATGCTGTCGAACGTATTCAACGAAGCTACTTGGATGAGGTCATCGTCAGCAACACTGTTCCTCAAGATGAACATGTTAAACGCTGCAGCAAGATCAAGGTTTTCAATGTTGCTCCCGTGTTTGGAGAAGCCATCCGCCGTATTCACAATGGTGAAAGTGTTAGTATGCTTTTCGATACCAATTATCAGATAGCGTAGTGGTTGCTTTTTTTTTGTTGGCGGCAAACCGAATTTAATCTACAATTTAGCCATGAGATGGCTATTCTATACATAAAAAAGAACAATGATATGTTGAAGCATAGTACAGTACAGTTGAATGAGTTGAGGATTTATATTATCAAGTGTGTGTTGCTTCATGCGGTTTCCATCTCCATTTGCTGTGATTCATATGTCATCCATGAGCCGGGCAGATGCCACAGCTTCAGGGAGTTATCTATGTTAAGTTGGTCTTGATCATCTCCATCCATCTCATCGTCGTCTGATTCATCGTTTTTCATACTGAATTTCCGCTGTCCAGAGCAGGAAGCAAGCAAAGGATAAACCTGATTAAAGGACACAGAAGAAACCAGATCTGAAGTGGTAAGATGTCAGCGCACATACACAATATGAAGGGAAAAAGGACAGCCGGTAACAGTAACTTACCATCATGACCTCGCAACAATTTGGTGGGCTCCACCTTGTCGCCTTCGTCTTTCATGACAGAAATATCAAACAATCGAATATTTCCATCCTATCAATCGCATACAATCTCGGTTAACATCGCTGACTGCATATATTCTTAGTTATAACTAATCCCATCAAATACTTACGCTGTCTCCAGACGCTAATACTTGCCCAGTGCCATCAATATCAAAAGAAAGTCGTTGATTCGTATAGCCTGGCCTTGTATAATGACAAAGTGCATCACCAGTGTTACGAATATCCCAGCAGGTTATCTTGTTATCTTGTCTGTTAGCAGAGAAAAGATAGGTGCCTGATGGTGAGAATTTAACCTAGAACATATCACATTAGCTTCTGAATTTGGATTGTTGCCGAACGTAGTAAACCAACCTGTGTGACACCTCCGTCCAGACCCCCGAATGCCGAACAAAGCTGACCCGTTGCTGAATCGTAAAGTCCTATATTTCTGTTGTATGTTCCTGCCGCCAGTAACCCTGAGTAGTCTGGGCTGAATGCCAAACTAGATATGATGCCTAACTACCTGTTAGTGTAACTCGTCTTTCCTAAAAACGGTTATGCCATTTTATCCCACCTTTTTGCCCATTTCTACTTTTTCGCGTCTTGGTGGTTGTGATCTTGTGTATAGCTTGCCCTGGTCTGCTAGTATCAAACACTTGAATCATATTTTCGTACCCGCAATATATATTTGATCCATCCAGATTGAACGTTAGACCGATCGCACCCATAAACCGCTCTCTATGATCAATCACCGAGTAGGATGCCCGAAGCTGTAAAAACAATGTTTGAGATCATGGCCCTATGGACTTTGCGGAACTGATCTGGGTCCAAGCTCACCTCGCCAGTGTTGGAGTCCCAAAGATGAACAGGATGATCTCTAGAAGATGTGAGGAAACAGCATGATGCTGGTTCTTGTATGTTCATTAGTGGAAACCAGCAACATTCGTATATTGATTCCGCTTCTTTTGCTTGAATAGTCTCCATGATTTGATGGTCACCATCTACGATACGCAGATTAGTATTATGCATTCAATCGAACGTTGTGACGCCATTTCTCTACCTTGAAGCTCACTAAATGTTTCTGTGGATCTATAGCATAAAGTTATCAGCACAGTACACCGTTGGTCAGAAGTAGAATCATTTGACATACGGTTGAAATACTCGAACTCGATTGTCATTCAAGTTGGCTAAAACTGAAGTTCCATCTGGAGACCTGCAATCATGCTTCAGCAATCTACCGATATAAATATCCAATATAAAATTAAACTACGTACCATTTGCAAGATTTAAAGAACTGGTCTGCAGAAGGAAGAGCTCAATATCATTATTGCGGAGACATTTATGTAATTCGGTAGACCATACCTTGGTCGTTATATATCGAATTCGTCGACACGCGCTTTTCGATATCTCCTGATAAATCAATGCAGTACATAGAGTATTGTTGTGTCATGACCTGATCAACAGTTTGGTGATCAAATGCAGCGGATTCTTCTGCAGTGGTACCGAGAGCTGGATCTACATTTTGTGAATCGGGATCAAGGACTTGTATTGCTTCGTTACTTTCATCCATTACTCTGCCTCAATTGAAGCAAGTTTTCATTAGCATGATAATCACGTCGATGGAACAATGCTATAGGAAAAGTTCTTCATGACATACAATAACTAGTCAGTGTCGTGTGCGGTACAGACCAAAAAAGAAAAAAATTGAAAATTGAAAATGGACCGTCGCTGTTGTAACTGATATTGCAACGTAAGAAAGACTTTTTCACGGTACGAGCCTGCAGCTAATACTTATGCTACACTGATGACTTTATCATATCTCTAGAGCCAACTAGCCGTCTAATATGATCAAAGAAGCATCACTAGCACATGTAAATTTTTGATTGTGGAAGGTCGCGACCTCGCATTAAGTTTGGCCGTACAATAGAACGGCGGCCAAAAGCCTTCCCAAGACAAATAGCATAGCAGTTTCTTTTTTGTTCGGAATCACTTTCTGAGAGAATGATTTTTCTTATTGTTCAACTGGATTTTCAACACGTAGAATCATTGATTTTACGTCTACTTTTGCAGTGGATTCTCACTTCACATCCCTGAACCTATCCCTCTTCATATAGAGCGGTGTCAGTCAACATCTACTCACAATGATTACAATCATATTTTTATTTTATTTATTCTTGATGGGTATATGTGCGTTTATGATGGCAGATACTCTTGATCTGTTGCTGATACCATTTATAGTAGTGGAGAATTAATATGAAAGACTTATTTTAAACATTTTGACTGATCCTTGGTCCAAATCTTTACTGAGTCTATAGCAAGTGCAGCTTGGTTACCGAATCCCCACGAAGTTTTCCAGTACTTTCTTCTGTCCCAAAACTTGTTAACCGCTCGGGGGTCTGCATTCTTCCATGGCTTATTTTTAGCATCGGGAAAGTATCCGTTTGTTCCTCCCACAGCAACATTCATAATCTACGGTTACATTCATTAATATAAATGGTCGGATTGATCAGTAAATTTCAATCTACACCACTTTTCTCACCAAAACAAATTCTTGATCGAATGGTGCGCTTGTTTCTGATCCCTTCCATGGGTTAGTTGCCCATTCAGGGAAAGCATGGCGCTCCCAGAAGGGCTTCTCAAAAGCAACTTGTAGCAAGGTTGTATTATCAACATAGGTTCTCAAGCTTGTGCTATTCCACTCTAAGCCTGTTCAAGATTATTTTAGCTTTAGGATTCAATGCGGGATGATCGTCATGGATTTACGTACCCCAGACATGGAATTTATCAGCAAACGAATTGCCGCTATCTACCAAAACTTCAACATGTGTATCCATATATGCATTCAAGTCCATGGAAGGACCCCATTGAAGAGTCGAACCCGCAGAGGTGACATTGCCATATGTATAGTTGACATTTCCACGAGTTTCCACGATGTCAATCTCACCTGGAGGTCGATATAAAGACAGTTAATGAGATGGCAGTCATTTATGGATTTAGACTCAAATTTCAACCCTACCGCTTGCTGGCCAGGCTCCATACATGGAATGCCTTGGCATTAACCAGATAGCAGGCCTAATATCACTGTCAGTACAAGTGAAATGATAAATGGACATAGGATCAGTCACTTACCAGATCCAATCTCCCTTCGGCATACGAGCGCTGATTTCGACCTTTCCATATGAAACTGAAAAAGCCCTGTCGAGCTTGATTTTGGCTGATTGAATTGGATTCAAATAATTGCCACCTTCCTCACCAAGACTTTCTCGTTCGCAGCCTATCGCATTGAACCATTAGTAACGTGTCGACCACATCGAGAATAAATCACTATGCTTACCGCCAGCAGCATTATCTGTGCAGGACGTTTCATCATTTCCCCTTCAGTCATTATAGTTTGTTAGTTCTGATCTGTGGCAATATCATGGATATAGCTAATACCTACCAAAGACTGATTTTGCCACCACTTTTCATTGTGTCTTCACCTATGGTGTCCGATGTGAAAGTAGGTTTTAAGTACAAAACTCCATCCTCCACAAAGCTGTTGGTTCTGTTGTTGGTATAGCTAATGGCGATATAAATACGGCGTTACTATTGTAGGGCGATATGGTTGGTGCGTTTGGCAAAAGACAATAATAATCACCTTTGGAATTCCCCTATTTAATTTGCATACGATGTTTAGCACATGGTTTTTTAAAAGGAACAATCATATAGATCGCTTACCATTTCCACCTCCACTCAGTGTGATCTCGTGCTGCGAAAATACTTCGTGTTAATGACTCTGCAACCTAGATAAGCCAGCCTTTTTTAAGTAAACTACGCAATCATTTTACCTTCCAGTGAGCAAGATTGAATTTTTCAAATTGATCTTCGAACATAAGACACATTGGCGATGCTGTAGATGTAGCATTTTTGTCAGCACTACTCGGCTCAGCTTCAGATGCTTGGACCGCAGATAATATGGCAGGGATAATTGCCAACAACGAAAGGGTAAATGACTTTTGAACCATTTTGTAACGAAAACAAAGGGAGTCTACATCTATTGCACCATCAATATATAGTCGCGCTCGTGATATGGTTCCAGTATTTTCACAAAAGAAATTATACGGTTGTAGCCAGTCAAAATTGATTTCTTCATCCCATTCCTTCTAAAGTTCACCGTTAAAATTTAAGGCGAGAATGTGGCAGACGCAATATCGGTGTCAGAACTTTATAGCCGACAATAACGAGTTTTAGCGTTCTTTTCAATAGAGGCTAAAAAAAAACGTTGTGTGGCTCCAAATAGCCGGTCTAGATTCTACACTGGAGTCAAGCAATCACATCCCAAAATTTTCACCACTGCTTTGTTCATATTTGCGCATTAGAATCATGACCATGGCTTAAGGTTGACCAAAATCCCTTTCATCGCCATATATATTCTCAAGTACTCATGCTTCACAGGATTATCATTGGTGACACCGCAACATTTGGCGGTCATTGTGATTACTGAAAGCGGAAGGATTGGCTTGCATTTTCTTGTTTTTCTTCCTTGCTCAAATCAATATTACCGATCGCAATTTTCATTTACCAGGCATGATCAAATCGATGGCGGTAATGACGGTGCCAAGAACGCCTTTGTCTCTAATGAACACTTTGTTTATGCCAAGCATCTTTTTGGAGTGTCGTTGAATCAGTAGATACATGTTCAAACATTATTGTTTACCCCCCTTATACTGCAGTGATAAAGGAACGGGTACAGTATTCCTGAGCTAGAAAATCACGAAAGTAAAAGGTTAAATGGCAGCTATTGGCGGCGATTAACCTTCATACAAGTTGAACATCGTAAGGTTGCACAATACCGTCATGCTATACGTATGTGATTTACCATTGTTTTGGAAACAACCACACACACCAAAATTTGTTATAAATATGAAACCTTGGCTTCCAAGCCAAAATTGGCGTACTGCCGCAAATGACTCTCACAGCTCTTACCAGCGGAAACTCACCCGCCATCACAAGACTACATTCCACTAAAAAACCGAAACCGTCAATGGACGACATAGACCAGAGATCCGAATCTGACAATGTAGTAATGGACAATACCATCGCCATTGAAGAACCTGATGCCTTGCCACAGCTTAAGCGATTTGGAGAAATAGGTATGTGGCCAAAATGATTCCCTTCGCCTTCTGAATGAGAGACATTAGAAAGAGCTTGTAACTCGGATGAGTACAAGCCTGTATGACGGTCTCTGCAGCCACATGCTAAAAGTTCCGCTTTTCGTTTTATAGACGAACCAATAACCCCTCTTGACGAGAACTCTTACGTATTTGACCTGGAACAATCTTCATTCACCTCCAAGTCACTTGGTGGCAGCGCCGTCTTTGTCGATGGCTATCATGACGAAGTTAATGAACAAAAACCGCTTGATCCATCCGCGTTCGGAGATAACATTGATGATACCAGCGATGTAGAGTCTGTTGACGCTGAGAAAAATGACACTCCGCCAACATCTACATTGACCAACGAGGTAGATCATAGCTCTTTATATATGTGCTCATATGTCGCAGCTCTGACTTTATGTTATTTGGTAGGATCAAAATTTAAGTGTAGCAGAAAAGACAGATTTGCAAACTGGGATCGATAACGAAACAGCAAAGACAAAGAACAGTACGACTCAGCTAGTTGGTTCCTTGATGGACAAACTTCGCGTGAGCGAAGTATTTAATGCTGCGAAGGCAAAGGGTGCGGATGACCAAAATCGTCCCAATTTCGAATTTTCACGCCATATTTCTGGAGACCAATTGCAGAACATCTTGAAGTCTGTAAACGCCAAAGAGTTGATGGAATCATCCGATAGTGAATCGGTCAAGGAAACTCTGATGCATATTCAACAGGCTGCTTTGGACGAGGTTCAGGAGCAAGAGGATCAGAAAGGCGTGGTTGATGAGATGCTGGAAGCATTAGCAACTTCAAGTGGCGTATCGGGATTAGCTGGGGCTATATCAGAACAATTACGCAGTCAAGATGTCATCGAAGAAGCAGCAGAGAGGCAACCAATGGATCTAGAAAGCGAATCCTCTGTTCTTAGCGAAGAAGAGCTTCGACCAGAATCCCTTAAGGAACCTGAGGAACCCATCTTTCATGTCGATCTTTCTGCTTGTACATCAAGGCAATCATCGCGATTTAACTCCGGTAATGAAGAACTTGTGAATGTCGATGACAACACGACAGATGTTTTACCATTCGAGATGGCTAATCCAATATTAGATTACGATGAATACTGGAGGGAATATGGTTTGCAATTTATAGTCATGCTTTGTATTGCTCTACTGGCATTGACAATCAATATCCTTGGTCGTTAGAGCGCTGCTCATTGTTCATAATAATTATTGGTATTGCTGGCATTTAAACATGGAACTTAACTCATACATGGAATAATAATAATAAACCGAAAGAAAAGTATATTACAATCGCTTTGATGCAAAGACTTTATACACGTTCCAAGCTTTCTAAAATGTCAAGCTCTGACAAAAGTGTTGCCATCGCAGTCCCAGATGGACCATCGCCATAATATTCAAACAAACAACTTGCTTTGGTGCTATCATCATTCAAAGCAATCATATGACACTCAATCTTATAAGGGAAGATGTATATTAGCAGCCCATTTTATACAACGATGGTCGTTAATTCGAATTCTTACTTACCTTGATGTTACTCGATCCATGCGCGAATTCGATTGTGATCCCAGGGGCTATTCCTTGCGCTGGACTAAATCCCATTATTCTTCTAAAAAACGTCAATTCGTACAACTTCTCTACGCGATGTTGAGGATTGATCACTTTGTTTACGCGGGGAATTGATTTGTGTTCATCAGGTAAATGGATCGTTTTCTTGAGCTAGTAGTTGAATATTAGCAATGAATATATTTGCCACAGGAATAAAACCATTCCATTCCAAATCCACTAACCTGATCTATGATGTATAAGCCAAATTTATGATACGCTTGAAGTTTTTGTCCCGTTCCAGGACTAAGAATGCTGACAGTGATATGACCATTATACTGTGCCAAAGATGACGGTCGAACGGCGATGATTTCAAGAAGTCTTTCTTCAGGCAAAAGCTCCGAATCTCCATCAAAGAGTGATTTGGTGGACGTTGATACATTCTTTGATTGATGGTTTGACGATACACTGTTGAAGGTGACCGTACCGTCAGAGTCGCTTTGCACTGGTACAAATTGAATATCTGCTGATAGAGATTTCATGGGGAACTGACTGGCGTTGAATACAGTTATGCTGATAATTGGGCATGCATCTTCATCTTTTGATATGTCGACTTTTGTACCTGATGGATAGATTAGCCGAAGTCTGTACAAAACAGCGTTACAGATTGATGCTTACCTATTTTGATGCTAGTCTTCAATACGTGTTCTAATGTCGAAGTCATGCCTTGTACCATGCTTAAACTTTGTTGAAAATTTCTTGAAAGCGTCTAACAGTTGCGTATCTGGTTTAGAGATGAAAGAAGCGGATAAAAGATATAGAGAAGAACCTACGGAATACACAGTACTGAATGAGTGCTCGATCTGCTGAACAGTCTTTTGTAATACTTCTAATGTCTCTGTTTCGTTGTCTCTACTTCTGTAATTAGCTTCCACAGTCATGACCAATATCTCTGTTGCTAACAGCTTACCTCTTATCTTTGAGATCGGTCTGCTCCATTGTTGAACATCAAGCTTAAATTTCGCTCATAGCTTTCAGCGAAACATATTCAATTTAGATCTCCGCATCGCTATATTCCAGATAAGTGTAAAGGATGTGACAGCCGCCAATCAAATATAATAGAGATATTTGAGAGCTTAGGTATACTTTGGGTACTGACAAACATTATGTCGACAAACAGGCCATAAATAGCATGAAGATTGGGACATAGTATTTAAGACCCTCCTTATTATGACCGGATAACAAAGCACAATAGCCATTGCTAGCTGATGTTCAGATTATTCGGTCTGTCAAGAACAAGGAAAAATGCACTTTTAGACGGAAACCTCAGATGAAATTATATACATTTGCGGGGCGATCTATTTTACTATTAGTGTCAAATTTGATGTCACCAGCTTAACGGATCTGCAATGACCTCTTCCTCTTTAACGACTTTCTTGCTGGTATCACTTTTGTTATCAAGTGCTTCTTGAACGGTGATCGACAAGCGTCGCTTCTTAATTGTACTTGTCAGCTTTGCTGACGGGCAAAGATCGTTGACAGGGCATGCATTGCAGCGCGGGCCGCGAGGCAAACATGTAATTTGGCCAAACCCAACAAACAGAGGATTGATCTCCTTCCAGTATTCCTTAGGTAGCCATGCTTCCAGAGCCTAATGATCGAACAAAAATTAATCCAATTTGATTAGATCGCTATACATAGCTACGTTCTATTAGACAATACATGCCTTCCGCGTATCCTCAGGAGATCCATTAACGGTTTTGACCCATCCCAATCGATTTGAAATGCGGTGTACATGAACATCCACACCAATGCCAATATTTCTGAAGTGAAAAATTTGTAAGGACAAAATCAACGGTTGTTAGTCGGCAGTTTCGCCTTTTCCGCTTACTTGTTCCAGGCACACTGTAATGTCAAATACCCCTAACGATTTGAATTAGTGACAACGCCAAAGAAATCCTCCACTGAAAGTTATTTACCATTTTCGGTCCTACATATAACTACCGTTAGTTTCGCTTTAGATTGAAGACAATAGATGTATCATTGCTTGCTTACCAACTCCGGGAAGACTGATTAGGCCTTCGATTGTGTCTGGAATGTCACCATTGTACTTCTCTTTCAAAATTGCAGCAGTCGCTTTGATGTAACTGACCATAAATTGGTATGATGATCTCAACTGAGAGATACATATAATACTAAAAACTCACTCTGTTTTTCGCGTGTGAAATCCAACCGACTTGATACACTCATGCAGTAAATCTTTGTCGCACGCTATGACATTGTCCAAAGTCAGCCCACCAGGAATTTGCGATTGAAGATTACGCATAGCAGCAGCTGTGATGGCATCTTTGGTTTGTGACGATAGCATCAATGACGTTAATGTCTGATACCTTGAAGTCTAGTAATTTTCAGATTCAGGTTGAGGTTCTGCAAAAGCGGTTGAGCTGTCTTTGTTATGGCCAATTACCTTCTCATCGACTGTTTCTTCTGATAACCGTTCACAACCCATGGTATCCACTGGCGCCAAAGCAATTTTTCTATATTCTTTAATTACTTCATAGACAGATTTCCAGTCGTTTGGAGGTCCTGCTGGGTTTGTCGATTTGCTTACTTTCGTACTTTTTGGTCGCGCATGTTTGATTACTTGAGAGGATTCAGACACATGTGAGGCAGAATGTACTTGATTGTCGCTGTAGGCGTAGGTCGAGAGAAGATCTCGTTTAATCTTCGATTTTGGCTCTGAGACGGTGCTAAGCGTCTGTTTACTTAAACGCGATGATTGTCTCCTGCCAGCCATTCGATTCAGAACAGAGTACCAAAGCTTGAGGCAGAACTCCGCCTCATTCAAATTTGGACTTCCTTTCAAAAGTATCTTGAAAGCAAGCATAGACACCGGTATACTTTTCCTGGCTTCTATGTATAGATCATCTTTCCAGTACAAGTATGGAATGATATAGAGGCACTTTGAGGACCAACAACGACATGTCGTATAATATAAGTTTCCCAGGTCAAAACATGGACGCCAAAAGTTTTTTATTTCTCTTTCTCTTTAACATAGAGGGTACGATGATTAAACTGTTATAGTTTGCGTGTCATAGTATACATCGGTATCTACTTTGGCAGTAAAGATTTCAAGTTATTGTGCAATCGATTTGCCGTATAAATAATCAGATTTTTGCATGTGCTATTCTCATCGACCCGGCCGTCGTTGCAGATCTCCTTGACATCTATCACCTTCAAACACGTCAGACTCTTCGCTCAACAGAGCCGATATACGAGACTATGTCAATGTGAGCGAATTTTATACATTTTATTCTCGATTTTTGGGCATCTTCCATTATGTAAGAATTATATATACAATCTATTCAATCAAATGCTTACGCGCCATCTCGGCTGGTCATAGCAAAAGGAAATCAATTTCTTATCACTTCTCGGCCTTAATCACGTGTGGACAATACGATCTAGCGCAACGTCTTGAGCACGTTGCCTGAACCATCGGCAAGCAAGAGCGAAGCAGAATATTTGAAACGCAGCTTTGTTCGGAGTCGCAATTTGTTTAAAAATGAGACATTTTCTCAAAGCATTCCTCCCTTTCCGCTTCACATACCATGGCACCAACAAGAGACTCTACTCTCCAAAACTTGGCAGTCTTTGACTTTGACTGGTACTTAAACTAGTAGAAATCATCTGTCAGATTAAGTCACCTGACAGTAACATATATAGGTCGATGATCGAACAAGACAGTGACGACTGGACGATAAACTCGTTATCACCTGAAATCTACGACTGGGTACGAGAGAAAAGAAAAGACATACAATGGACAGATCTTATGTAATTTGAGTTACTTCCTCATTCCTTCTCTTCGCCGACATAAATATTCATAACTAAAAATTGAATCATAGGGGTCAAGCGTTGTCACACCTTCATGACAAAGGTTTCACACCAAATGATATTCAGCGGGCTCTGGAACAGATTCCATTTGTAAGTGAATAGTTTGCTTGCAGTATCTACATCATTGTTAACCTTAACGCCTGGTTAGCACCCTGCTATGAAGGAGGTTCTTCGTAGTTTATCCGGAAATAACACTACCGTTTTGATCCTCTCGGATGCCAATACAGTTTACATTGAAAGCATTTTGAAAGTAAGAGGGCCTCTCATTCTTACTGTCGACATATTTCCATGAACTCAGCTGACTTCAGGCCATTGTTCTCTATTCTAGGCAAATGGTGTCCGCCAATATGTCAGCAGCATAGTAACCAACCCAGCACAGTTTGATGCTGAGGGGAGATTAGTTATCGATAGGCTGATACCAGAGAATGCTAAGCCTCATGGATGTGGTAATGGATGTGCGGTCAACATTTGCAAAGGTAGATATCAAATTTTCACATCATCATCTGATGCTTTGTCGGCTGTGTACTTACCAATGTCGAAAAAGGGCTGGAGTTGAACAAGTATCTAGAGGAATACGGCCCTTTTAACAGAATTATGTATGTTGGAGACGGTGCGGTAAGTTTGTATCAGTATGAATGAGCACTTTCCTCAGCCATGTTCAACTAATGCATATGAATAGAATGATTATTGCCCTGCTACTCAACTGCATGGAGTAGACAAGGTGTTTGTTCGAAGAGGAAAATCACTCGAAGCTTTGTTGAAAAATCAACCGGAACGCATCCAGAACATCAAGTGTGAAGTTCAATATTGGAACAGCCCACAGGAGGTCCTTGACAGTGTTATCCAAGGAAACTGGTAGTATGTGAATGCTGCGAAACTTTAGCACTGACAAGACATCATCTCGCGCCGTATTAATATCTAAAAAAAGAAAATGTAGAAGATAGAGCATAAAATAGAAACTTTACACCTATTCTTGTCCTTGTCTTAAGAGAGTTGACTCAGAAATTTGGCATCTGAGAATTGGCACTATGGTGTGACGAGTTCGGTGGGAACACGTTGTCTCGTGTTGGTAACATGTTGAAATGGTTATGAACCGTTTGCTTCAGCGCTAGAGCTCACGGTACATATGTCACTCAACTCAGTGTAACTCATTGCTTGCCTTAGTCGTACTGTACTCCCACAATGAAAACTACAGATAACACCTTCCCGCATCATTACTCAGACTATAACATATCTTCAGAAAATGCTTCGCTTGTAAATCAATGTACAATATCATATCTCAAACAAACGTATCTCAAAGAGGATGTTTGCCTGTGCGCTCAGTGAGGTGTAGCCAAGTAACAGTAACTTTTGTGGACTGTATCGGTACTACCATCATTTTGTATAACATGTCACAAAAACTTGCCGCAGACAATTTCATCCCTTATAAATACCTGAGCATGATGGCCAGTGCAAACCCCAGGGTCGTTGTTGACTGACTCAATATGGAAAACAAAGAGCCTATCGTCGAAGACCGCAAATGTTTGTCATTATCAGAAATCTCTTCCGATCAAGATATTAACGGATACGACGATGCTACTGAAGTCTCGTCGAATCCGGTAAAGAAGGATGCCTTACAAAATGCCACCATAAGAGGAAGGCTTCCATATGCTCGCTTCGTCACAGCTCTGATTAAAGTCGGATTACTTTTCTTCTTGCGCCTTTTACGCTTTTCTTGGAGACACAAATTTCTTACCATTATTATTGGACTAGCTTCGTTAGCAGGATACGGGCAATTCAAAGTGAAAGAAATACGAAAGGAAAACCGCATTATACATTCCAACAGTGTGCTCCATCTGAAATGGTCGGATATATCATCCAGTGAGTATACCGAGAACAATGTCGATAGTAATCTTCTCCCTTTTTTATGGCTTATACCTGGTAGCGGCTTCAATTTTGGAAGGCAACGGCCACTTACCGCTAAGATGGTTGCACAGACTATTTATACTGCGGCAGATGATCCCAGAATAATTGGCTTGACGTGTGATTTTACTTCATTAGCCGAGGATAACCTTCAGCTAGGGCCACTGTCATTCAAACGAGGCTTGAATATGGCCGTACTACAAGAAGTTGTGCAAGCTGTCACAACATTCAAGGAAAAAAAGCCGCCGAACACTACTGTCATTGCATACGCAAATACCATGTGTCAGAGTTGTTATTATGTAGCAGCTGCTTTCAAAGAGGTCTACATTCAGCGTCATGGTGAAATTTCTCTGGTAGGAAAAACTTTTCACAAGTTTTATTACAAGAAATTCTTGGACAACTGGAATGTTTCTTCGCTGGTTTACAAAGGCGGAGAAATGAAGTCTCTATACGATTCATATATCTCCAATGAAATGGATAACAAGACAAGAGAATCGCAAGTACAGCTTCTCAATAACCTGGATCAGCAGTATTGGCATGATATCATAACATCACGAGAATCAACATTCTTGGAACTTGAAAACAAGCAAAAGAAGTGCCTTGCATTAGGTTCAAACCCTTTAGAATCAAAAGCATGCCCTGATGCATCTCCTACGTTTGGATTATCAAAACGTATCAAAAAAGCGGCAAAACCAGGAATTATATTTGCCGACGAAGCATTGGAATTACGTATGATTGACGGCCACCGTTACGGTCGACAATTGGATGTTGATATGAAGCTCGTCGGGGAAAAATTAAGCCTTGCTAATTACCGCAATCGTTTACAGAAAGCGGATGAAAATGCAGCCACTTCACAACCGGCAACTAAAAAGCCATCACGAAAATCAATTCAAGAACTCAAGATTTTACATCAAGTAAAGCCGACAACAAGTCTAATGGCATCAAACAAACCTTCAATACGCATCGCTGAAGTGGATGTATATAATGGTATTATAGCAAATGAAAATTTATATAACATCGTAGCAGAGCTACAATGTTTCGCTGAGGATACATCAATTCAAGCAATAATACTGAGGGTGGATTCGCCAGGCGGCACTTTCATTGCTTCGGACACACTGGCGGAGGCCATTGACTACGCAAAATCGAAAAAGCCAATTATCGCTAGTATAGGAGGTATGGCTGCAAGTGGAGGATATTATGTTGCAGCAAATGCATCCCTCATCATCGCAAACCGCGCTAGTCTTGTTGGTAGTATCGGCGTAATATCAATGGCTTTGGATCTTTCGTCTTTGTTGCAAAGATTTGGCATAACCTTTGAATCATTGACCACCGGTGTACCTACAACTATATTTGAACCGCAAACAGATCTTCAAGTTATAGTGAACGAAGCGAGAACCAAGCATCTGTACCACAAATTTGTTGAACGTGTCAGTGAATCAAGAAATATCTCTATTGACATTGTCAAAGAATATTTAGCTGAAGGCAAAATGTTCACTGGCGAGCAAGCGTATTACAATGGACTTGTAGATGAAATAGGCGGGTTCCAGTATGCAAAGGAAGCGGCTTGCAATATTGCTACTAAAAAAGACAATAACAAACCAAATGAAACTAATTGTGAAATTGTCGACAAAAAATGCGTTCTACCTACAAAAAATGCGTTCAACTTACCGTTTTCAATTTGAGCATTAACTATCTCGCTATAGTACGTTTGCTATCGCTAGGAAATAAACCAAAGAGCTTATGCCATATCATCCTTTTATCCATATGCGTCCATTCTAGTTCATGTCATTCCGGTTTTCAATAGTTCTAGAATAGAGAAGGCCACACATGCTCTAAATAATGTACGTCACCCTGGCAAATCATGGCCATACATGAACCGACATAGCCTAGATGGCTTGTAGATATGCCAACCCAACGCCTACAAGCATAGAATAATAATAATGAAACACTCCTAATATTGCAGGCGTCTTTGTTCTTTATTCAAGCACTTTTGTATGAATTGAAAACGTTGGTCAATTGAGCAAAGCCAGCGAGTTTTATTTTTTGTTTTGGTAGACAAGGAATTTATGATTGGGACCAGAGAACCTGACTATAACTGAAAAAATATGTAGTGCACGATGCTTATGTTAAATTGTCTTTGAATACTATGGCTTGTAGGCACTTTTGTACAGACCACGGCTGTTGGCCCAGCCAAGAAGACCAATGTACTCTCCAAATTTCAAGGTGACTAGCGGATGATGTTTTAATGTGGCAGCTTCTACATGGTTTTGTTCACTTTGCGCCATTTTTGTGTCAGCACGATCTGGGAACGACTCACCAGTTCGAAGTCGGTGACCGAGCGTCCGCCCCTGGTTCTCTGTTTTGATACTGGTAGCATCTGCAAATTTCCGTACAGAAGCTCCAATTGTGCCTCGACTTGTTCTTGTTTGGATTATGGTTATTCATCCATGCGTACCTTCGCTTCTTGCGGTTGTGAGAACTCAGTCGTTGGTAAATTGGGTGATTGACTCATACATATACTCCAGAGCTTGGTCTAGCCATTCTCTCTGCTGTTTGATGCAATTACAGTGAGCTATTCAAACCGCGCGTAGGACTGGTCCAATTTCATTAGAATTTGTGCATCCTGAGGCCGGGTCTTCTGTAATAATATTATGCTCCACATTTTGTCTTATGACCGACTTTCTAGCGGGATTTTTTGAAATTCATCATTCGTGTTCATAGTCTACCCAAAGTGCATGCTCAATCCATTTTCCTGCTGGCACTTCTAAATGTAAAGCTTTATTCGTCGAGGAGGGTTTTGCGTAGTCGCTCGTTTGTTTGGGTCTTCTGCTGAAGGGTCCGCCACCAAAGGCGTCCGAATCGCATGAAGATATCCATTCTCCAAAATGGTCTCCAACTTTTCTACTATGGCTATGCTACTCAGTTTATGAACAATGGTTGAGATAATCCTTTTTTTTTTGTTGGCCTGAGGTAAAATTGATTAGAATGCTCGATTTTTCGTGATGCTCTTTGCGGATGCCGAAATGCGGAATCCAGCCCCGTGTGGTCGCTGTCGCAATGATTCGGCTCATGGTAAACTATCACATAGCGCGTCATAGGAAACCAATTCTTTCATAATCTGCCACATTGTCAGCTATTACATTGCAGTAGGCAGATACAGAAGCTTTGTTGAGGAATATGAGACTTTTCATGTAATTATCTCGATGGCGGACGAAATGATTTTTATACCGGCTAGCTAAAATTTAATTCTGTACATATTTAAAAAATATATAAAATAACAAATATTAATATTAAATTTGTAATAATATACAATTAATATTTATATGATTAAATTTATAGGATTAAAATAGCAAACTGATTTAGTTGTTTTTTTATCTAAATATACATTATTTTTATATAAATTATTTTTATGGTTATATATAAATGTAAATACATATTTTTATTATTATAATAATCTAGTTTATACAAATGGATATTAAAGTGGGTTTTTGGAGGCACAAAAAATGCGGGTTCTTTTGACCCGCCCCCATATCGACACAATATGGTTCCAACAACCGACGATCGATCACTTTTTTGAACGAGGTTCTTCCGCTATTCATCACTTTTTTGAGTCTGAAAGCCGAAAACCAATAAAAGTCTATACAGCTTCAAAGAAAACACTCAAAACCTAATCTCAACCGTTACGAGACAGACAATCTTAGAGACTAAGCACTCTAGAATGTCTGTAGCTCTCTCTAGCTTCTCCCAGGTTGCCTGGACGGATATTGTTCGAAGAGGAGCAAAGGCTCCAGCTCCTTCCATGAAGAAAAAACTGAGTACGACACCACATGGTAGACGAAGCATGGGATCAGTCAACACCGAGCTGATATGGTCAGCCCCTGGGTATATACAACAACAGCAATCG